AAGGTTTCTCGATTAGCAAACTTTACTGACCCGCCACAACTTGCTACGAATTTAATCAAAATAATCAAATTCATCTTTTGTTACAGAAAATGGTTAAAGAACTTGTTAATTAGGATTTGCATACCTTTGAATTCCACTTCGCTTCTAGCAATGCAACGTTTTGTTTATAATCGGATAAGGCGGAAACATACTACTAAAACGCGACGCTACACCACGCCATCCGACGCATGCAGTACTACAACCCATATATTTAAATGGCAGGCACATAGACAACACGCCATGGCACACGCGGAACCCAACGATTTGGATCAGCGTGTTGTCGTGTGGCGCCAAGCGTCAAACGTCGTTCACAAGTCAATTATATCTTCATATTTTTGGTTTTTGGCGTGCGCAATTAATTGTTGGGAACAATATCTTCTATATGACTGGTTCCATACGCGCCTACTGTGGTTGGGGACCGACTACACGTTCACTTTTTTGTTCCCCCCCCTCCCCCGTAGCCTTAATGCTCAGAACGCTTTATGTCCCTCTAACAGTATTCTGACTCTACTAAAAATCTAGATATGAAGTTTAAACCACCTTATTGAATAGATAGATAAACAGTATAATTTAATTAGAAAGTAATTTATCAAAGATTTTTAATTGTTAAACCAATTATAAATGTAAACCAGTATTTATCTGTTCGTCATGGTTTTACGGGTCGTTATATTAAAGGATTTTGTTATATGAAAAGAGCTATATAAATAGTCATTCAGACACTTTAAGCGATTGAGCCGGAAAGGATCAGTTATAAATAAAATACCAGTGTGTTGGCTTCCTTACGTCAGTAGTGTAAAAGTTCAATAAAATCAGTTAGTCATTGTCAATTATTATCGGTGCTCGTAATGGCTGTCAGTTTGACCGGCGCTACTTGATCTCTGTAATTGTTATGTACACTGTACGATAGATTAACTACATGGATACAGTTATGTAAAATTTTATCGCTTTTAATATTCGGTGTTGGGCATTTCGGAGAAACATAAGAATAAGATTGCACCAACAAACCCGGTTTTATAATAAATATATTGTTTGAACTTGCATGCTTATTTATTTATTCACACTTCGTTACCTTATACAAAAACATACATATAAAAAAGCAGGTTACATAAGTTATTAGGCAACGGGCGGCCTTATCGCTAACAAGCGATTTCTTCCAGGCAACTCAAAAATGTAACAATATAAAAAGAAACACCTAAAGAGGGTAAAGTACAAGAAGTGCATAAATAATTAACAAAACTATAATAATAACATGTATAAACAACAATTTAAAAGCTAATCCAAGGGTTAATTGGGTCACAATTAAAATAATATAAGTAGTAGGTAGCTAATTACGAGCTAGGGTCGATGAAGAAATTTTGATTATTTTAAATACAGTAAAATACCCTAGATGATATTTTATTCTCTTTACTTTTGTTGTTCGTTGTAAGCCCCGAAATCCTCAATAGCCAGGCATGTTTCTGGGTGTAAGCCTTTTGAAGAATCGTACACAAAGCCTCGGGGACGTTCCACTTCGAGCTCTACCATGTCCTCAGCAACTACGTTTGGTTCTGAGTTTGTATAAGTATAAAGATCACAAACTTATTCGTCCTTTCAATGCAGACAAAGTCGCAGCCATTCCAATTATTAAAGTTGGAATTGTTATTAAAGCTAATAATTTCGTGTTATGAATGCGAGTCCAAATTCCGTTGATGCTTGTTCAAGAGCTGTCAGATTTAATGGACCCGGTAGTGTGTCTCATTTCACACGTCCATATTTGATCAGCCGTTTAATGACGGCTATCGTTAGTGTCGATACATTTTAGTTTAAACGATTTTAATTTAGAACATTGATCCTATTATTTTTTAATACGCGAAAGTTTGGACGTTTGTTGCGTAACAGCTATCTTAAATGTTAGTGGTACAGAAGGAAACTCAATCCTAAATACGATTAATAACGTTTCCCTTTTAGGAGCAAAGACCTTTATCAGCATAACTTGCCTAGGTTTCAAAGTGACTTAATTATCACTTTCGGGTAAATAGGTAGCAGCCCTTCATTTGACTTCGAATGACAATAGACCTCAGACAACAACCAAAAATATTCGTATCACAGAGTTTAAAGCCTTATCTATGATGTTTTATTTTGATAAATGTCTAAGCACCTTTAATGTATGTAATAAATAGTTAGTGCAGTACTAAAATCAGTTGAGTATAGCAAATTATACATAATTGCGCCTACCGGCTGTTTGTTCTACTTACAATTTGGGCACTCAGCCCTTCACCTATCACGTTTCTATTTAAGATTGCTAAACCGTAGGAAATATTGGGCGCTGCTTTCCGCTTGGCCATACTTATAGCGGGTTTAAGAATATAAGCAGTTAAAAATTATATTTCTCCTATAAAGGTATTAAGTTAAACCTTGTCGCTTTAAGTATGTATGAAAAATTATCTGATGTAATAACAAATTACATCAATTATTAGCAAAAAGCAATTCGAAATTATTCGCGACGGCGACGTAGGTATATAGACGAAGTCTCGATAAAAAATCTGTGCCTGTGTTAGAAATAGGAAATATATTTCTTTGTCCACTATTATCTTGATTTCCAAATACAATACTTGAGAATAATGTTCTACAGACAACAATTCCACGTTTATTGGTAGGTAGCCGCTTCCACTAATACCAGTACTCGTTGCGTAAGCTACAATAACCTACAAAAGGGCATAATTTTTAGAGCGGAAAGCTCTTAAAGTTGATTAATTGTTAAAATTTCAAATTTCACTTAATGACCGGATGAGTACGGACATTAGAAATATGTTTCACACGAACATGATTAGTTAATTATTACACCGTTTTAATTAGAGGCCGCGAATGTTGACTTTGATGGAAATATTGCTTAGTATGTTATTATGGTTTGATTTAAGTTTTATAGCGTTTCGAAATAATTATACGATCTATGTGCGCACTAAGATATTGGAAATACATAGGTGCAGTTAAACAAATAATATTTGTAAAGGAAGCCTGAAGCAATATTAATTCTACTGTAAAGGCGAAACAGACGATAAAAGTCGCTCGCTAATTTGAAGGAATATCTTATTAAAATTAACTTTATATATATATAGTAACATAATAGTATAATAGTAGTACTTATAGCAACGAATTATTGAATTAAATAGTCAGTAGAATCTTAACCTAACCTGTACATAATAATAAAAAATAAACTACTAAAATAAATATAAAAACATAAAACGTTTAATGTTAAAATTAATTAATTGCAAATAAATTAATTAAAGTATAAAGTTTTTGCATGAAAATTACTTGACTTTGTATACATTCTTAAGAGTTCACTATACCACGGCAAGGTACTCCAAAGAATTTCTTAAGTAGCGTAAAGATTTCTAGGTTATTGTCCTCTTTATTTGAAACGGCCTTGTGCGTTTTTAATTTAATATTTCTGTTGAAATTTTTAGTAAAATTAGCTTATAATTAAATTGTAATCTTATTCGATACGCTATCATTTTATTATGATACTACTTATTGACTGCGGATCCGTTCGAGTGTATGTTCACCCATTATTTTTAAAAGTAGAATATCTTCTTTTAAATATTATATCTCAAATCTTGGTTATAAATTTCAAAAAAGCCCTATTTCAACAAAAACTAAAATCTATCTGATATCATTGTTGAAACAAAAGAAATGCGATCAGCGTTACTAATATAAAATATTAGGATTAATGATATGTTATAAATAGATATTCGACATTCATCAACGGTTTAATTAAATTATTTCATACAACAAATTAATTAAATCTAATTCAGCATAATTTAATCTGGCTTTCTCCAGACGAAATTTTGAATATTGCAATTAACAGCAAACGTCGTTTGCCTTATAAATTGTTACTAATTGCTACCTTTCAACACAGTTCACATGATATTAGGGTTGCCAAAAGAGAGCTGTATAAAAAATGTTCACAAATATTCGAAGGACATTGTTTCCTAGAAATATCATTGAATATTTTGTCTTTAGGCTACTATAACAAAAAAATTTCGTTTAAACTCCCATCCATCCTACATAAATCGATAAAATTCACATTTTATAAAAACCATTGTGGAATATATGGTAAACGAGTTTTTGGAGTCCTTTTTAATAATTTTCGCTGTTTGACAACCCTAGGATTAAAAGATTAAACGTGAGATGAAAACCTTCAATTCATTTGGATGACATGATAATTTTAGCTTTGTTACGTCTTTGAAATACGAATATTGTTTATGACTTCCACCAAATATGTATCATATCGATTAGTATCTAGCCTTATTGACAACTTGATACACGTGGGTGTTTTGGCTATTATTAACGAATAGAATTAATAAGGCAATAAAATGTATTACTATAGTAAATATATAAGTAATGTTTATGAATTTCTTAATTTTAGCAAAGACAAATTAAATCTTTTTTCTCTTTGTAGTTTAGCTTTTGTTCTTTAAAAAGGCAATTAATATATCTGACCCCGCCTTTGTGAGAAAACATTAGATTAAAGTTTTTGTTAAAACAATCTTGAATTCTTGGCTTTACTTTAAGCTCTTCGTTCTTATCTCGACTTTGTTTAAAAACTTTTGTTTTAAAATTCACCTCTTATTTTAATATTGTAGAATGTCCTGCTTAAACTTTTAAACTCATATTTAGTCTCTAAAGAAATCTGATGACTCTTGTCTTGTTAGTTAGTTCGGTCGTTTGTTCGAACTCTAGCTTTTTGGAGATTGGGAATTTTTATTCCTATGTGAGAAATTAACATTTGCTCGGTTAGTAAAGGAAACAACACACTGTGAGGAAACTGGCATGTCTCAGACCCAAAACTTACCACATGTGTCGTCTATTTGCATAAAGAAAAGAAAATTTAATGTAATTAAATAGACGCACTAGACCTATTTCCCATTCAAACTTTTTTTATCAAGTCTATGTTGTTCCTGAAAATGTTTATGGTTTTTCAGATTAACAGTTCCTGGTCAAACACATATACAGTTACCAAGCGATAAAGAAGATGAGGATGATACAGGCACAAGATTCCGGCGGACGGGCTCAGAAAGGTTGCGGGACGGTGCAAAAGCCTTACTTCGACGAGTCGAATCTCTTAAGACGAGAAGAAGAAAACGCCAGAACAGGACAGAAGTGATTGTATCGTCGCCGCATTTCTTAGATGCTCAAGACAAATATCCAGATCTAAACTACATAGATATGACACCGACGACTCCGTCAGCCTTTCCATTCCCTGACTTCCATAGTTCACCGTTACATGCACCAGCAATAAGAACCCAACCCCCTTCTCCTATGACTATCATGCCGCCTTCGCCAATAGCTCCTCTTGAACAATCCTTTATTTTACATACACCGTTTGGAGACGACAGCTCAAGTTACGCATCAGATGGCAGTATGGGATCTAGCAATAAAAGTTCTAAGTCAAAATTAGGTAGAGCAAAAAGGATATTCCACAGAGGGTTGAAGGGTGATGATTCGAGTGCTCTGAGTGATTCTGAATGTCAACCGGCCAGCTGGAGGCATAATTATTATAAGGATCAAAATATGCATCATACAACAGAGGTTAGTGTCTGGACTCAACAATGTAAAGTTAGGTTCAAAGATACTTTATTTCTCAAAGAATTACATTCACTTAGCGAGAAAGTATAATGTTATGATAGTTATAGGGTTTTAACTGATCAAACTGTACGGCAATTGACCTAATTATAAATTTCAGGTATACGTAGAACCATCATCACCAATGGACCTAAAGCCCGATCCAGAAATTCTGCGGGAAGTTCAAAAGTCACCAGGACACACACCACACCGGCGGCAAGCGATCAGAACAAGTTCGCTGAATTTGGGAAAAGATGGCCAAAAGTAAGTAAGATTACAATCTGTCATTGGCCCGTATTACTTATATTTATTTGATATTCCTAAATTTTAGAGTGTAAACATCGATTAATAATTAAGTCCGCCGTTTCCCGTCATAATGTATAATGATGTGATTTCTTCAAACTTTACGGTACTTTTTTGTAGTTTTCATGTCTTAATCAGACATAAACCGATATCCCGACAAATATTGCTTTGACTTTTAGTAATTATAGAGGTTTTACTCCCACTGTACAATAAAGCTTTCTCATTACGTTTTTACAAAGTAGTCAACTTCGACACCGTTAGCTAACAATAGCAAGCGGTTAATTTTTGATGAGTTTGTGGAAAGTTTAAACAAACTGTACAAATATTTAGTGTTGGAAGAAAACTGGGTTCGTGGCATTGTTCACTTTTCGTAAAGTTCTTGAGGGGTTGGTTTCAAAGTTTGTAGAAAATTCGCTACGAAAAGCCATTTCACGTTTCAAATTATGAACTTCACACGCGATATCGGTGTGTAATGCGTCAAAATAATAATAATAATTAAACACAAACACCACAATAACACTTAAAATAAAATAAATGAAGACAAAGTATAGGTAAATGGGCAGCCTTGCTGCTATAGGCAGTTTCTTTCAGACTACCACGGTACGACGCGTTAATTAAAATAATTCACGAATTATCGCGAATATTATTTCGCCAAAAAAAATTACAGTAAACGGACCAATAAAACCAGTTTTATAGTATTGTCTTTGATTAACATAACCTTTACACATTTAAAGAAAAACGCTTTTTACCGATATGTCGGATAAATTTAAAATTATGTCAAATAGTTGTAAATTTATAATAATAAACATAACTTTAATCCGGTAAAAAGCGTTTTTCTTTAAAACCAGTTTTATTGTAAAATAAATTCCTAAAACATTTTGAAAGGAAACGATTAGCCTACAACTAATTGTCCCAAACAGACACAATTACTGCGTGTAATGGACATTGGACAATGGTGTATTCGTATGTTAATGTGCGATTGCACAACTAATGTGCGTTTTTCTGTTTCTGGAGCAACGAACTCAATTCAAACCGTGAAGTCTATTTTATATTGTTGCACGATTTCTACCTCTTTGATTTAGAGGAACTAGGAATTTGCTGAAGCTTATGCACTAATTCAAATTACCTTTTTGTGTATATAATAGAGAGTTAGTAATTAGTATAGTTATATTGCTAAGAAATTTTGATATTTTACTAATTTAAGTTTCTGAACTAGTTTTCCAAAAATTATCTGTAACGTATAAACACAAGCTTATCTCACAAGTCTCATCAATAAATCATCGCTTATATACATTAAAAATATATAAATCATCGCTTTTTAACTTACACTCTACTATATTTTATTCATTATATTTACAGATAAAGATAAATTTTCCCTTAAGGTATATAACAAATACAAGTCATATTAGGCAATTATAAATATATTTAAAAACTAAATTTTAACAGTTTTTCCACGTACAGGTTTCGCGATAGAAGTTTGAAAAGGGACAAGTCAGCATCAAGAAGTTCAGAGATGGACAGCAGCCCCAACTCAGCTGGATCCAGGTCACAGGATGGCGACCAGGATGATGACGATGACAGCATCGACATTAAATCCAAAAAGTAAGCTATTTTACATTTGCAGTTAAGTTTTGTTATATATGTTAAGAGTGTAGTTAAATATTGATATATGTGGGTAACTAAATAGATAAAATCTAAAAATTAAAATTAAACTAGCAGACTATAAACTTCTATGAATTGGTTATAGTATTCATCTGAAACTGTAATGTAATATGTTTTGTTCAATCTACTAAATATGAAATTTTTCTCCAAGAGTTTTTACATTTGTTTAAAAATATTTATATATCTTGTTACCTGTTCTACAGCTATCAAACTCTTTTACTTAAAGATTTTGTTAACATAACTAATAAATCGACGAAGACAATATACATATTATAACTCCACAATCTCTCTTCTCTCTCTTCCATCGACATTTATTAATAATACAGTAATCTTTCTATTTCAGAAACAATATACAAAGGTGGTATTCATTTAGAACGAACACGCTCAACGGTGGACCGAAAGCGAACAACACGCTGCAGCCGGCACCAAATCAGAAAAACCCTGAGGCCTATTGTAAGTAATGATTAAAACGATAAAGCTATCGTTAATACGTATTCGCTAATAGCTTTAGTCAAAGATTGATATGAAGAATTTGATTTAATGACCACGTTTCAGAATCAATGAGATCTTGTAGAGCAAGATCCCAGGGCCGCCAGACGTCACGTATTTTCTGACGGATGAAATGTGGACGATTGAGTAGTGTTAGTATGTACTATGATCGTATGCCTACCTGCTAGCTTGGTCAAACGGCCAATTTCCAGGTATTAGGTAATCAAGGTACACAAAAACATTACTTACTTCACGTAAATTCTCATGGCTGATTTTTATATATGTTTTCGAGTGTATAGTTAAAAATAAATTGTCAATACTCCCAGACACTTTCCGTCGGCCATATTGCTTGACAGACGCTTTAAGGGTCTCAAAATAATTAGTCAACTTCACGTAAATTCTGACGCTCCATTTTTATATATGTTCACCCGACAACTATTTTAAAAGCTTTGACAAGAAGACAGACCGATCCAAGGGGCCAATCATCCCCTAAACTAAATTTTAATATCTCTGTGAGTGGGAGCGCGAGAGCACTATCTACGCGCATGAGACTGAGTGAGACCGACTGCGCTGTTAAAGCCATGAAAATTACTTGAACAGATGTTTAATAATTTTTAGAACTCTTTTAGAATTTTTATTAATGTATCTGATATAAATGAAGAATTCAATCGAAAGAATTTAAGAAACTTCGATGCCAGTAACTTACCACCTTGTCAAAGTGAGCTTTGGCGACAGTTTCGACGGGCTAGCTATATCGCTAGTCTTTGGAACAATGCAAGTACGAAGATGATAAATATTTTCAACCCCGAAAACAATGGCTGGACACTACAAGATGGTAAATATGATTTTCATTGGTTCGATGGAGATCAATTACCGGGTTTTGTCAGTGAGTCGCTGGAAGAACAATCAGGTAAATTATTTTCGTTTCTCATATTATTTGTATCTTTTTAGTTTTTTCAGACCTTCATTGTTTAACTTGTTTTTACAGAGGAAGCAAATAAGGATAATGCTGATGATGAGGATCACGATTTAGATATTCAATTTCAAGATTGGCTGGATGATGAATTATCTAATTTCAACGATGATGATAATGAAGATTAAAAGCCACTGTTAAGAAATATTGAAGAATTAAACTTTTTCCACTTTGTTTCCAAATTTCCAATAAATAATTAATTTAAAAAATTGCTGCTATTTAAATATAAGTGGTATTTTTAAAAAAATATTTTTTAGTTCTAATTAATAAATTGAAAAAAAAAAATTAAAAATGTCGGCTAACTTTAGTATTATTTATTATATGTCAATTTTTTTTCTTATTTTTGTTGCTATAATTTACTTGTCAACAAAAGTTCCAAAAATTATAAAATATCTGTTCAAGTAATTTTCATGGCCTTAACAGCGCAGTCGGTCTCACTCAGTCTCATGCGCGTAGATAATGCTCTCGCGCTCCCACTCACAGAGATATTAAAATTTAGTTTAGGGGATGATTGGCCCCTTGGATCGGTCTGTCTTCTTGTCAAAGCTTTTAAAATAGTTGTCGGGTGAACATATATAAAAATGGAGCGTCAGAATTTACGTGAAGTTGACTAATTATTTTGAGACCCTTAAAGCGTCTGTCAAGCAATATGGCCGACGGAAAGTGTCTGGGAGTATTGACAATTTATTTTTAACTATACACTCGAAAACATATATAAAAATCAGCCATGAGAATTTACGTGAAGTAATGTTTTTGTGTACCTTGATTACCTAATACCTGGAAATTGGCCGTTTGACCAAGCTGGCAGGTAGGCATACGATCATAGTACATACTAACACTACTCAATCGTCCACATTTCATCCGTCAGAAAATACGTGACGTCTGGCGGCCCTGGGATCTTGGACTATTGTGGCTTGCTCACGGATAAATATTTTAAGAGTGTCTAATATACCTTATTTTTTCGATACTTAGACATTCGACATTCTTTGTACCTCATTAGGAGTTCGCAGGAAGTGGATTATCCAAATTATCAACTTTTCACAGTAATTATATTACTTAAGTATGACATCTGTACGCGCCACCCACGATCATAGAGCCACCAATAGGGTTGGATTGAAATCTTGTAAGAAAAGGATTTAGTTGTAATTTGAGGTGTTCTTTCGGTTTTTGATATTTTTTAGGCAAACATTAAGAAACGCGTAGCTACCATCACTATCGTATACATTAATAACCAAGCTATGGAGGCAAAATTAGTAACAGTATAATTTTGGAATCCAATAAAATAATGGATAATCTTCAACTACAATATTTTCAGTATCAAGACCTATGTCATCTCTATCCTGCGGCCAGTTGCACATATTACGGAAACTCGCTTTGCTACGTCTGACTGCTTGTATGGAACGGTACTGTCCTTCCCACAAGTCCGGGTGGAATTGGGAACTACCCAAGCTAATTAGGAAGATTAAGACACCAGACTACAAAGGTATACTTTAAGAAAGCCCTATTTGTTTCCAGTTGCATATATAAATACAAAATGTTTTTAATTCTAAGTTGGATGCGAAATTATAATTCATACGACTACGCATGAAAACGGGAAAAAGAAGTTATTATGTCTCTGTGGTTTCCATAATGACGAAGTTTAAAAATAGAATTTCGTAGGTGATATTTATTCTAATAATAGAAGTGTTTTTTATCTGTGGATTATTTACGGCTTATTTTTTTTTTATAAAGAGGATAAGCTTCTATTTTATAATAATCAATTATTTATATCTTATGAGTTGCTGTATAATTTCAGACAAAACAGTATTCGGAGTCCCTCTTACCGTGTCACTGCAGAGGACCGGGCATTGTCTACCAAAGCCGATTCAGTGTGCACTCAATTGGTTAAAACACAATGCTATGGATCAGGTAAATTCACTATTTTACTATATGAGAAATAAATATATTCGATTTCCAAACTTTACTATAAAAACAAAACACTTGTACTAAATAAAGTGATACTGGAGAGCACTCTATTGCAATTTTAAATTTACCCTTATCTATGGAAAAATGTTGGTGGTATATTTTGGCGCCATTGATCCGTTTTGCTGTACTGAATTACGTGTGTATAGTAAATTAAGAGTAAATTCGACTTTACTCGGTATTTTACACCACTGACGGAAATTACTAACCAAATCGAGAAATGCCATCAAGACTTTATAGTATAAAAATTTAAGGAATTTAATGTATAAAAAATTCCAGTTTAGATTAGATACATTATATTTTTAAAAGAGTATAGTTAGTATATATTATATTTATAAAAATGGTATACTAAAAATAAATCTGTACGTATATAATATATTAATAAAAATACCGCTTTTTTTACGAACAAACGAAAATTTCTGAAGCGAACTTTGTGCCTGAAACAAATATTTATTTGTTGTCTTTATCAATTTAAAAAATTAATTAATTACTTAATAAATTTGTCAAATTATTTATGAATAGGACAAGGTTTATTAAATTTCAATATGTTTCAGATGGGTATATTTCGGAAGGCAGGAGTGAAGTCCCGAATAGCGAAACTCAGAACGATGGTAGAAACCGCCGGTTCAGCTAACGCGGCTTTTGCCATAGAGAATATGAACACCACAGACCCAACACATTCCAGCCTAAACTTCGAAGGTGCGCAAGCGCATGACGTGGCAGATATGGTCAAACAGTACTTCAGAGAGTTGCCTGACGCCCTATTAACTAATAAATTGAGTGAAACCTTCATCGCTATATTTCAACGTGAGTTTATGCTTCTTATTAGTAGCTTAATTAATTCCATGAATAATTAGGAAAAACAGTAGAATCATAATTTTATCTAATATATAAAATTCTCGTTTTACAATGTTCGTTACCATACTCCTCCAAAACGGCTCGACCGATTTTTATGAATTTTTTATTGATATTCAGTAAGTCTGAGAATCGGACATTTATTTGTCATCCCTCTAAATGTTGAGGGTGGTCGCACCCCTATTTTTTTTTATAATACAGCATACCAAAATACATACAACCCTTAATTTAGTAGAGGGGTAACCCTCTACGATCAACCCCTATTTTTTATTATAGTAGATAGTTATTTTTATTAAACTAAAAAAAGTTTCCTAGAAATACATGGCAAAACGACGTTTGCCAGGTCAGCTAGTATATATCTACATATATATCTGCAACTCTACAGTACTACTTTTGATTGTCTTTGGTAACTACAAAGGTATTTTCAGGACGACAATACTTGGAGTACCGCGCCTAATACGCAAAAACTCATCTCTCAAGCAAACTTTATTATTATTTCTTCAATAATGTATTACGTCATAATAACTAAAGCATACCAGCTATCGCATTAAAAAACCAATTCCGTAAACAATCTTAAGTAATTTATTTTTAATTTGACGATATGATTAAGATTCTTTATATGCGTTTGACCTGCTTTTACAGATGTTCCAGAACCGTTAAGGCCTGACGCAGTACAATGCGCGTTGCTTTTGTTACCCGAGGAACATCTCGAAGCGCTACAATCATTACTTATATTTTTGGCAGAGGTATTTCAATTTTTTTTTATAAATTAAGTAAATAAAGGGTGTCTTTAAAAATCAAGTTTAGGTTTTGCACAAAACTTAAATATAAAAAATACATTGTAGTGTAACTTAAAAATTTTAGGAAGTTTGACGTTACCAGGTCAAAATTTTGGGTTTAAAAATAACTTTATTGAAGTGAAACTTCTTTATCGGGGTTGGAAAAAAATTTAGTGTAACATTTTTGCGTTACGCGTCACATTTTTCCGTTACGCGCCATGTTGCTTTTTGAAGTCAAACTTCTTTATCGGCGTTAAAATATGACATATAGTATGTTTTTGACTTTGAAGTTTGACAACGGATTACATTTTCGAAGTCAAACTTCTTTATCGGCGTTAAAATATGACATATAGTATGTTTTTGACTTTGAAGTTTGACAACGGATTACATTTTCGACTTGAAATTTGCTAATCGTAATTTGCAGCAATTAATTTGTAAATTGTATGCTAGGCAGTGTATCAAAATTTACTGTGTTTAATGAAATAGTTTCTAATAAGGTCATAAAGAAGTTTCACTTCTTACGTGTGTACACCTAGTAGGTACACGCATACATTTTTATTATTTCTCATAAGAATTGCATACATAATTACTGAGAAGCAATATGTAAAACTAAGATTAATAATTAGAGTGCACATATGTACGTATATAAAATAACAAAACAAAACAGCAACAAAAATGTGGGTAGACAATAAACTCGGTCAATCAAGCAAACATAGATTTTTGTTCGAATTTGATTCTACGGCAACTTCATACGGCATCCGATTTATTTGTGTGTATGAAATATACACAAAACATTGAAATTACTGTTATCCAACTCTCTACTGTGTCCCTTCATTGTTGCTAATCTCTAATCTATAAATATAATTAACGTTATTAATTCTGTTAAATGTGTATTTAAATGTATTTTTTTTCAGGTGGCAGAACATTCCGCAGTTAACCAAATGACAGCATCAAATCTAGCTGTATGTTTTGCGCCAACTCTTTTACGGCTACATCATACTATTCCTCACACTGGCAGCACCAAAGAAGGCAACTCGAATAGGTGAGCTGCGCCATCAGACATTGCTTAAATTGAACAGGAAAATTTATCTCTGTTTAATATAGACAATTCATTTTTGTAAAATATTTACTAAAGCAATTTTTGTAGCATTATTAACAGAGTGTTTACGATATTTCATGAAAATCAAATTTTATTATTTGTGTGTATTTTTTGTTTGTAAAGTATGAGGGTAGTAACAAAATAAGACGCAATTACATGATTCTAATTTAAATTTGAAATTTCGTAATCTTTATTTTTTTTTAGAATTATTGTAAACTTATGGATAACCCAAAATCAAGAACTCGTAACTATTTTATAGCTTCTAGTTTTTTTTCTAGGATGATAATAGAGAGTGTAGCAGATCAACGCCAGATTAGCGAGAGCAGAGCAGCTCACGCCTGTCTGCTGCTTCTCATACAGAAGCATCAGCAGCTGTTCCTAGCACCTGCCGATATGCTTGCTAGGTGCAAGTTCAACTACTTTGAGGAAAGCGTACCAGTATGTTATTATTCATAATACAATTTGTTAAATCTAGGAATCTTCACTGAAAGGATTCTGAAAGATACTCTTTCAAAGGTTTATTAACTAGTACAATTATTTGTAGTGCCTATGTTTCAAACTCTTCACAGCCTGCATGGTCACGAGTTTCTGATGTGTATTTTTGTATGGGAAGTTTAGCAAATATGACCAAGTTTAAGATAAGATTGTGACTCGAGATATCAATTCAACACGAGTCTGCGACAAACTTTATATAATATATATTCATTATATAGTGTTCATCATTTTATTTGTTACCATTTTCGAATCCTGAATTATTCTTTTCAGGTCGCCTTAGAAGAATTGGGTGCAGATTTCAATCAAGACTGGAAAGGTTTCCAGCAAGCCTGTATTAAGGCGCTATTAAAAGAAGCCAAAGAAAAGTACGTTAATCTCTTATTCTCAACAATCTTAACCATAGCTTAATAATGTTTCGTATTATACCGAGTATAATAGTTAACTATGTTATTTATTTACTAACATTATGGTCGTACGTCTACTGTAATTATAAATTAGTAATACCTCCCAAAAACAAAGACATTTAATTTAAACATTGTCATGATTTTAAATAGTAATTATTAAAAAAAATATACTTAATACAATTCATTGCTCATTTTCAAGTGTTAATATTTGAGTACAACATGCAAAATGATCCTTTAAAAAATCTTAAATCGCTGAGCTGACAAAATTAACGGAACTTTGCGTAATGCATTTTGTCAATTTTTATTGAAAAATTACATTTTTTACTAGACAGAGCTGTTGATGGACGAAATTGATATAGATTCGTTTTATATAATATTTAAAAAAAACTAGAGTCCGCTTAGTTGAAGTAGTTGTACTCTTAATCTACGATTCCGTGGTGAAATATACTATAAACATAATTCTAGTATTGCTGAGTTTTCTGCTCATTGCGTTTATTTGCCTTTTTGCCATTTTTGAGTATTCAGAAAGTGTTTATTTTTTTTAATTTATCTATTTTAAATTTCTATCAACGTTACTGTGTTTCTATCATAGAACTTATTGACCTTTGTAGTGAGTTCCTGTAATAACTAATTTCGTGCTTTTTTAGAGTCAGTGGGAAGACAGGGAAGAGGTGAGACTTCGATGTTAGTCGGTTGTTGATCGATCTTACATCTTCATTTCAATCTGTTCTTTACTCTTTTACGCATTTTACTATTAATATATATTCTTTACTGATTTCTACTATCTTCAAATAAAAAGTACCCATTACACATTTTCTGAATGTCGTTAAACTTATCGAGTTAAAACCTGTTAATTATGACAATTTTATTTCGCAAAACGTAATAGTTTATTATAATTGTAGATTGTGACAAATAAAATTAATAATTTTAAACCAATATATTAGTTTTTTGTGTTAAAATGCAATGTTAGGATACTTATAAATTATTATGATCGTAAAGAACAGATTCCATCATCTTCATTCGTAGATGTCATGTGAACACTGTTTAGGCTAGTTGTTTGGTGTAGACAAATTGGTTGATTTGCCGTTAAAATGCACCTAGTATAGGATATTTCGCGAACACATCTAAAGAAATGTATGGAGGTGTGTGTGTTTAGAATTATATTATTAATCGTCACTATAATGTAGCTAGTTTTTCAGGAAAGTGTATTTAGAACAAAATAAATGTTAATAAATCTATAAGAATTTTTTAAATGCACTCAATAATTTTATCCTCAAACCTTTTCCCTCAATGTCTTTAATTACAGATAATAAAGAATTGGTTATTAAGTATTATTCTAATTTATTAGAATAGTAAAAGTTACGATTATATCAATTTATTGAGCAGCGGATTCGAATTAAAAATCGGAAACAAACATAAGTTTGCTTTCGAATAGTTTCATATAGACATCGTATCACGTGTGTAAGTGTCATAGATTGCTAAAAGTATTTTATAGCAAATTACGTATATATTTATTGAATTTAGCCTAATAGAATAATAACATTTGTAGGGAAAAACTCTTGACGTTAAAGTTATTGAAAACACGAACATATCAAATCATTCGTGCAGCAATTGCTGTCAGAAATTATAATTGATTCCTTATTACGTATTAAAAAATAAATACTTGACGAACCTATTGAAATGATCAGGATTCCGATAAATTTTGATATCGATATTAATGTATTTATCAGAACGCGCGGTTGGATGTCAGTATCGGGGGCTGCAGCTCACGTGGAGCTGTGCTGCAAGAAAGTGGGTGATGGACATCCGCTGAGACTCTGGAGGGCCACTACCGATGTTGAAGCGCCGCCTCAGGAGGTTATGCAGAGGTAAGCTTAAACATTTATTCAAATAAATTGCAATCAGTATGTTCCAACGTAGGAAACAGTCAACGTTTCATCTAACTTGGTTGAGTAATTATTTTATTTTATATTCTGTTAATACGTTAAAGTCTATTTAATTGTTTAAATTACATTTTTATGAATCATACAGCTGTGCTTTTTATGAACGCGCTAATGTTGGGACCACATTTCGAATTGAAAAAATTATTTAGTTTAATTTAATAAGAAATAAATTCACACTACGACTGAGTTAACCGGTTAAGCTTGCTAATAAATATTTAAAATAAAAGATCTAATATCTTCTAAGAAAGTAGAACGTGAATGTAGCTGAAAGTTTAATAGTTCAAAGTAAAGGATTTCTTTAGCGTAAGGCATAATACCTTATTATGTCTCGCTATAACTTTTTATTTCTTTTTTCATGCTAGGATCAACAGTGTAGAAAAAATATTATTCATCGCAATTTTCGTAATATTTACGACCTTTATCTATGTATATTTTATTTCCTATTTATAGAATACTCCGTGAGCGGCATATTTGGGATGATTCACTGATCAAGTGGAGAGTCGCTGAGAAGTTAGGGCCCACTGCAGAGATTTTTCAGTTCATCACTGCTTCCACCTTCAACTTACCACCGAGGGACTACTGTGTTTTGAGGTAATTTTATTAAGGCAACAATGCCCATACAAAATAATTAAATTAAAAGTATCTTATGGTGCTTGTTAACGAAAAAATATTAATTTAAATATAAATATGAATTAAATAATTAAAATTTTAGAAAAATATTAAACATTAATAAATAATGCTGTTACTAGTATGATTTAGTATTTTGTTTTATTAATAAAAAATAATAGAAATGTATGGATAGTATTTATACCTAGATTAAATACAGCGTTAATATAATATGTTACATATGTATTCAAATTTGTATCAAAAACTTAATTATTTTGTTCAGATCGTGGCAACAAGGCGGTGGCGGCGGCGGATGGTGCGCCGTGGCAGAGACCTCTGTGGCGCACGGGGCTGCTCCCACCGAAGGCTCTAGGGGAGTCGTCCTGGCCTCGAGGTACTTGGCCCAACCCGCAGGCAAGGGGCGAAGTCGCCTTGTGCATTTGGCCAGGGTTGATACTATGTAAGTACTTTGTGTAATTTTATCATTTTTATATAAAGTAATGTATAGCATTTACAAAATTATTTTACACGAATTTACCAATTAGGGAATATAATAGAATAATTAACAACCATGTTTTCAGTTTAATAGTTGGTAACATATCTACATAGATATATATACATATATATATATATTATATATAGAGTCTGTGGGGGAAAGAGAAGCGCCGTAGGATTTGAGGATGCATCAGAGCTAAATGAACGTTTTTGTTAAGTTGTTATAAAAATCAAAATTAAAATACGTTTATTTAGTTTAGATGCGTCTTAGGGCATGTTTATGAATGTCAAAAACGTTTACAAAATTTGCGAAAGAGCAAGAACTCGCCATCCGTTCGCAAAACTACCAGGAGGCCTTGTTCTGAGAAGAACGGGCAAGAAACGCAGCAAGTTTTAGTATAGTTCGACAAGAATCATTACAATAGTTTGGATAATCGCTACGCCACTTCTCCTTCCGTTCAGACTCTTCTGATAATTTAACAGTTATTTTAAAAACAATGTAGAGCAAAAATTTCAAATATATATATTATTTTTTTCCCCAATATTAACATATTTTTTTTTAACTCCAGGGGCAGAACACCGGAATGGTACAACAAATGCTACGGCCATATTTGTGCTCTGTACTTAGCTCGGATTCGAGCCTCATTCAAGCATAATACAGAAGGACCCGAGTCTAATGTATGATCAAAGCATTCCACTTAAGTACGGTCCATATTGGAACCAACTTAAGTTAAGCCTTGAGGTAAAGCTAATTTTGTCTGTGGTTTGTTGATATTATAATGTATATCAAACGTCAATATTCTATTCACCCTTTGGTGTTGCCAGTTCTGTTGTAAAACGTCGAAAACGTTAAAGTATAGGGAAAACATTATAATTGATAGTATTTTAATAAAGAAATGGGTAATTAAGTGAAATGTCTTGCGCTAACTCATAACTGATTGATGTTACTTCGGGAGTTAACGCAAGTTTTCTTATATTCATGTTAAAATGTAGTTAAAATATAATAAATTATTAATATACCTCTATGAGATGAGGAAGTTCTATGTTTACTATGAAAGTAAATTGTCAAAGTGACAAATAAAAATTAGACTCGAGTTCGCCGCACAATTACGCAGCGTTACCCATTTCTATTATAATTAATCTAAAAATTGCAATACATTAAATGCATAATATTTTTGTCGAGATACTTATTAGGTTAGAATATTTACCTACCTCTAATAATTCAAGTTTTATCTTAAACCCCAAATGGGACCTACCAAAAATCCTGACTGCGTATTTGACACTTAGTTTTAAATTACTCCCCTTTGGTGCAAAATGTAAATATAGAGTAAAGATATATTACTTTAACATCACAAATTAACTATGATGGATGTAATCTCAGTTAAATATATTTTACCATAAAGTTATCGTAACATATCGCTAGTCATAATATTATATATATAAAAGTTTGAAACATTATTCACCGTACCTGCCTGTGTTCAGGAAAATATAGTATTATAACAAATAAATTGTAATCAATCAATTAAAATGCACTCTTCTGGAATCTTGGAATTTTAATATTATAATATGTTGATCTTTTATGATATTTTATTGTAAAAAGTCTGATTGTAAATAGAATTACAATATAATAAAAACGTGAACATCACAAACTATTTTAAATTTAGTAGTTATTTAAGACGCCGTTAGCTTTTTGAAGAATGACATTTCATTTGCCCCATTTTCAAGATCCAATACTACGTCTGCATGGAAAGTCTCCAAAAAATAAACTGGGATCGGGTGCACTCTTTAAAAAGCCACGGAATGGAAGCCAAATATCACAATATTATATTTAAGAAATTGTAAATATGATGCAATGATATTTTGATGTAGTAATCTCAAATAATAATTTATGTGTTGTTAGTTACCTGTGGAATCACAATTTTAATTATATTTAATGTTTGGTGCCCCTAATTGTATTTTGCAACTTAAATATTTTAGTACATAATTAGGTATATCAAATAAAACCGCACTTTAAATCTCTCCATAGCCATAAAGAAAATTGCCATACTTCATCATCATTCCGAGTTTTAAGAATGAAAAATAGGTACTTAGTAAAATGATCATTCCATACTCTTACACTTCATATATCTACCTTATATACGGACAGTACTTTATTAAGTAACCTATTAAGACTATAACTTTCTCAGAAATTTAGATAATACCTACTCGGTACCCGCCTAAAAGTATGCGAAAAATATAGAAACAGGTCTCCTATAAATTAAAATCCTTAATGCCAGCCAAATTATAACCATAACACATAAGCAGAATATGTAATTTCTTTGAATAAAAGAAACAGAAAGATAATTTATTTTACTAAAATGTGTAATACTCCATACTACCTATTGATATGTGTAAAATAATAACTATAAGTAATGCATTGTGATTTTATTATCTATAAATTAAATGGACCATTATAATACAAACGGCGCTTTTCTTTAGTCAGTCCCCGAGTCTCCCTCTCACCACATTTGGTGTTTCAAATTTGAGTTAAATATATTGAATCATCAAATCAAGATCTATTAAAAAAAAGATTTTTCTTTGTTATCTTATGAAGTTTTCAGCGCAACTGTTAAGTATGCAAGATTGGAATTTATTTTATAGAAATTGAAAACCTAAAGTGTAGTTATCGAAATTTATCGAACTAGTTAAATTTTTGTCAAAATCGTGCCAAGTGGACGTACAATTGGTGCAAAGTAGGTACATTACTAAAATCAAATTCCAAATATAAATATTAAAAAGTTTGGAAAATCCAAAAGTGCACGCCTCATAGCGGTCATTCACATTTAAAAAATAATAAAAAAAACAAAAAATAAATGAAAATGAATGATTGAAAAAAAACAATAATTGTATAATAAAAAATATATAGTGGCGCCATAACTCTAAAAAAAATATACTAAAATAAATGTATATATAGATATACAAATACACAGTCGTATTTTAGTTTTTTACAAATTATAATGAAACGACAGTACTTAGAACGCTAATATTAACTAGCAATCAGCCCAGGGTATAACTTTATATAATAAGAAAAAAGTATGCAGGAACGATAAATTTTACTGCCACATACATGGATCCATAAACACAGACTGACGGACGTCCAAGAATGATTGATTTTAATGTTATTATTTACTATGTTAAACAAAATAATTGTTCATAAAAAATACCATATAATATGCTTGATAGATTATTTAACTCGATTTTAGTGCACTCATATTATCGTGTAAGTGTTATATTAGTGAGAAAAAAGCCATTCAAGTTTCGAAAGACTGGAGTTTTTTTACATGTCGAGAGTAGAGCACTGCGAGGCGTGCAATAAGTAGCAGGTAAACGTAAATATAATGTAGGACGAAAAAAGTATTGTCTTGTCGAAATTTTTAATTCGTAACAGGAGTTAAGTTCGGTGGCGGTTTTTGTTTGAAGCTGAGTAAGAACTGACTTTAATGGTTTAAAATATGAGCTTATAACTAACATAAAATTACGGGTAGTGGAGTTGCGACGCTAACAACTAACTTGGCTTATCTATGGGTTCACAAATCTAAATGACACTTATGTTATTGGACATTATCGGAAACGAGAATGTTAAAATACAATTTATGAGTGTGGTAAAAACTAAAGGGCTCAATATTGGCTTCAAGTGTGCGATGATGGTTTACACAACGCTTCTAATTATTAACTAAAATATTTATACATATGTAACTTAACTAAAGTTAGGTTACATAACTCACAATAATATGACCCAATATTTGTCAACTTTTCGTAGGTAAAATGAGCCTGAGCTGCAGCTGTTCGTGTCCTGCGGGGAATATTATGGTAAACTTAAAATAACATATATTATATACTTGAAGTTAAAAACTTTAGTTCTATTTTTTACCAAATGAGCAGGGTTTGACAGTTGACTACCAATAACCAAATAACCATGCAACCTAAGTTCTGTTCGTAAAATTTGAGTATTCAAATCTTGAGTTTGAATTACATCTCGAGGGAACACAGCATACTTTGGCATCCATATAGATCTCGATTCTTTTGTCACTGAAGTAGAAAGACTACGACTTATTTACTGAAATTTAATGTTTTGTTTATGTAAATTTTATGTTTTTGATGGGATATAAATTTTAGGCATCCACGACTGTTTTAATGTAAAGTGAGAACAAACCGTAATTCATGTGGTATCAAATTACATATGTTAGTATAATTAGTATTATTATTATTTTCTTATGTAGCCAAGTTCACATTTCAAAGATCGTCATGCTCGCGTAAATGACATTGCTTGTGGCGGCGTCCATGCGTCGGGTTGTCTGATGTCTCTCTCCCTAGAATATGGAGAGTGGCCGGTGGCTGGCCATGCGTCATACTCGTGAACGGGTGCTACTTGTGGTGAATTGTCGGACTTAAATTCGTGCTTGCGGTGATGTTAGTTTTTTCAACTATGTAATTGCGTGTTGTTCCCACGAGAATGTAAGTATGTGCTCCTATTCCACCATGCCTCCTGCTGATAGAGGACAAATTTTTGTTTTTATTTTATTATTATTAATCAACTATTTATTACTTAAGTCATTACTTATGTCATGTGGAACATGGTATAACGGTTGCAGCTCCTTACAAACGTTGTGTTAAACAAAAAACTTGGCGATTAAAAAGAGTGGCGGAGAGTTTATTGTCAGTTCTTCTCTTCCGTTCTATGCCCTTGATCTGAGAACTGGGAGTAAATGTAAAATTAGAAGCATTTAATATATATTTCTTTTTTGACGTCCATAAGTGTACATTGTGTTTAACCTATATCTATGAATAAATGATTTTGATTTGATTTGATTCAGCCTTGTACTTCTGAGACATTTATTGATGTATAGCTTGTGAACGTGCCGGTTACGCCCAGAGTTACTATATAAGCAAGTATTAATTGCGCACATCCAAAATCCAAAGGGTTACAGTACAAGAACACGAACACAGGTCCATATAATTCGTGTCTTAGGTCATAATCTCGTCTGTATTTTATTTATGTTCCTTCAATATGGGATCTCAGAGGAACTAAGCTAAAATAAAAATCGTAACTGGAAACATTGCGGTCACCCCACCGGTCAATGATGCCATCGTGGGGGTTTTCTCCCCAAATTTAGGGGAAATCAAGATATACGAGGGTTTTTTAGGGGGATTTTAGGGTGTACTTTAGTAAATAATTTGTTTTTCTTAATCAAACCTGGGCCTTACATTAAACCTCGAACCCAAGCAACAAACTAAACCAAACATTAAAGCCCCTCCGTGGCTTTAACTGAAATATTAAGCTATAATAGTCCAAAATCTAAATAACAGCTATTTTTACTACTTGAATGTATTTTGATTGCATATTTGAAATTATCTCTCATGTCTCAGACTGAGTGTACAACAAAAACTTTAGGGGTTGCCACTTAGGGGGATCACTGCCGTCGGTCTGCTGAGCCCTGAGGTCTGGCGTTTCCGATTCCGGGTTAACCGACACGAACTACCTAAAGGTCTAAAGACCCTTTTTTTATATGAAGTCTATATTTGTGTGCATTGTAACAAAACTTATTATTTTTCTCTTGTAAATACCTGTATTGGAATACTCAAAAACCTGTTTTTCTCATCAGTCTCTAGCTCTAGGTGATTATACTATCCTCTTTTGATCTGCATATTGTCTTTAGGGGTTTTTGTGCTATACGCTTAAGCAAGAATGGGTAGTGAAAATGAAGAAGACCGACCTGCGCCAGGTACTCCAAAAAAGAAATTAGCCAAAAGAGGAGAGCTTTCTACAACACAGGTCATTGAGGAACAAACACAGAGCACAGAAGTAACGTCCCGATCGGGAAAAATTTGATTTATTTACGGACCGGTTAGGGCCCGGTAAAAACCAATTTAAAGCCAGGTGGACTGTGTGTGACGTCGAAATAGTTTCAGAATATGGAGTTTTAAAGTAACACTCTTCAAGGCAAAGGCAGCTACTTATTTTAAATAAAAACTTTCCACTTTTTGTTGTACGATCTTTTCGTTTCAAAATTTCCTTGGTGTACGATTTTTTAATAGTTGGTGTACGATCATGCGTTTTTTTCACCTGGCAGCCCAGGGGCCTTAGTCAAGATGGTCACTTCCTTTTTGGCGGGAAAAGGAGAGCCGCGTTTTTTCAAATAAAATTTTGTTTTATTTTAAATTAAATTGTCTTTTTCAAGACAGAGTGCTTTTGGAGGAGAATAATGTCTTCAGAGAGTGATGGTGATGAAGACGGGTCTACAAAGTTACCCGTAGACTCGAAAAAGAGGCGATTTGATAACTCTGTAAAATCGAACGATGTCGATAAGTATAAACCTTACTCTAAACCCGAGTATAAGCGATCCTACCCGGATAATAATAACATAGAAGAGTTTCCCGTTTACGTACAGGGAATTAAAATGGAAGATAAGATAGGTAATAAAAATCCTTTGCATTTATCAAAAATATTCAAAAACGTGAAGGGCATTAAGGAATGTCGTCGAGTTAATGCGGCCAAAATTATGCTGGTTTTCAAACAAGCTGCAGCTGCTAATGATTTTCTGAGTCACGTTAGCTTACGTGACAATAATATGAAAGCTTTTGTACCAGCCTCTTCGGTGGAGCGAGTGGGTAAAATTCGTTTTATCCCTAAAGAATGCAGTAACGCGGATTTATACCACAAACTAATGGCTGACTCTGAAATTGTTGGTGTTAGACGTTTTATGAAAAGAACTTGTGATGGTCTGGAACCTCTTACTACTATAAGCGTTACCTTTGTAGGAACTGTTCTCCCTCAGTATGTTTATTTAGACAACTGGCGTTACAAAGTTTTCACTTATATTCCTCCTCTCATGCAATGTTTTAAATGCATGAAATTTAGACACAGTGCCAAAGTATGTAGAAACAATCAGGTTTGTTCAAAGTGTTCAGGTGGTCATTCCTATAAGGAATGCTCAGCTGAATTTTTAAAGTGTGTTAACTGTGGAGGAGACCACTTGGCAGTATCCAGGTTTTGTCCTCAAAAAAGCAGCTCAGATTAAAAAACATGAAAATAATTATTCATCTAAAATGTATTCAACTGTATTATTGTCAAGTGATTTTCCTCAGTTACCTAAAGATAAATCAGTTGTAAAGTTGGCTCACAATAAATTAGCTCCACCTACTGTCCAACCTAAGAAAAAAAAGTTATCACAAAATTCATCAGATAGTTCAATTTCAGTCCAGTCTGCTCCTCCTAATAGTGGTTCCTATGATCAGCTCATTAAAGATGATCAGTTCTTGAGTAAAATTATCAAAACTTTAGTTATGTTAGGCAATTCTAATACAGTAAACACAACTGCACACATTAAGGATATATTAATACAAAACTTAACAAAATAATGGATTATTTACGATTAATGCAACATAACATACAGAGTATCAATAATAAAAAACCACTTCTTAAATCTTTATTATATGATAATAAAATAGATGTGTGCTTGCTGAATGAAACTTGGTTAAAAGATTCTGGTCTGCCTTTTTATATACCTGGTTATATATTTGTTGGAAAAAATGCTAAAAATGAGCATGGAGGTGTAGGTATATTAATAAAAAATGATATTAAATTTAAGGTCTTAAAAACTACTTTCTATCAAAATATTCAATTTATAGCTATTTCTATAATAACAGGATGTGGTCCTGTCTCAGTGCTCTGTGTCTACTGTCCACCAAATAATAGCTCAATTAGTTTGATTAATTTGAGAAAGATTATTTTGCAATTACCCAAACCTTGTCTTGTATCTGGTGATTTTAATGCTCACAATATAGCTTTTGGTTGTGATACTACCAATTCAAGAGGTCGTGAATTATTTGATATATTTGATGATGCTGATTTATGTATTTTAAATTCTGGTGACCCTACTACTATTTCTAGACCTGGTAATAATGCATCAGCCATTGATGTTACTTGTGTTAGCCCTGATATTGCACCACTTTGTGAGTGGTATGTCGGTGATGACTCTTTAGGGAGCTATCATTTACCTACTTTTGTTAACATCATTACCTCAACTCAAAAATATACAGTTCAAGAGTCTATACATAAGTATTTATATAATAAAACAAACTGGAATATGTACAATGATAAATCCAAAGATATATTTGATAAATTTTCTCCTTCAACAATTGATCCTTTAGTTCAATATGATGAATTTTCTAAATTACTATTTAGTTTAAAAGAAAACTGTGTTCCATTGTTAAAGCATAAATCTTCTAGTAAAAAGTCTGCTCCTCCAGCTCCTTGGTGGAATGATACTTGTGCCGAGGCTGTAACCAAATCAAGAGAAGCGTTAGCTAATTATAGACGTAATATGACAATGGACAATTATATAGAATATAAGAAAATAGATTCGAGGAAAAAAATTATTATAAAAATGGCTAAGAAAGACAGTTGGAAAAGTCTTTGTTCGTCTTTTAATAGATTCACTCCAGTATCCCGAGTGTGGAATTTTATTAGAAGATTTAAGAGAATTAACATTAATAGAAATGTGTCCAAAAATGATGAGTGGATAGCAAGCTTTTTAGAGAAGTTAGGGCAACCTAGTAATAACAATGATAATATTTCTGGTTTATTCGAATTTAATGATGGAAGTCAGTGGAGCAAGTTTCTACTTAACTCTTTTTGTTTTGAAGAACTTGACATGGCTTTGTCTTCAAGAAAGAATACAACCCCTGGTCTTGACGATATTCCTTATATTATGCTTCAAAATCTACATGTTTCTGTAAAACATATTCTACTTAATATTTTAAATTCGCTTTGGTCTCATCAATTGATTCCAGAATCCTGGAGGTTGCAATGTGTCATACCAGTGTTAAAACCTGATAAACCCAATGATCATTTTAATTCGTACAGACCCATTTCTCTTACATCTTGTGTAGGGAAATTGTTTGAGCAAATGATTAAGATTAGACTGGACTATTTTGTTGAAAACCAGAAACTTATTCCTTCTTGTCAGTTTGGATTCAGAAAAGGCAAAAGTGCAGCAGAAAGTTTTATAGCTTACCTGACTGATATGAAGAAGTGTTTGTTATCAGGTTCTACTGCAATTTGTGTTTTCCTTGATGTTCAGGGGGGCATATGATAATGTAGATCTTCACCAATTAATTAGGGTGCTATATTCCTTGGGCATCCCAGGAAAGCTTTTAAAATGGATTTTCCATATGTATTATGGTCGTTCTTTATACATTAAATACAATAATGTTTTTCATGGTCCAAAATTAGCATTCAAGGGGTTGATGCAAGGGTCTTCTTTATCTCCAATCCTGTATAACCTTTATACTTCACAAATATATACATATGTGACTGAATCTGTAAAAATATTACAATTTGCTGATGACATCTTAATATATAGTGTAGGCAGTAATTTACAGGTTACTCAAGCAAAAGTTAATTCAGCTTTATGTCAACTTAACTACTATTATACTGAGATACTTAAATTAAATATAAATAGTAGTAAAAGTTCAGTTTTAGCTTATGGTATTGATACTAATGTAAATGTTAAGTATAACAATAATTTAATCCCTCAAAATAGCGAAAAAAAGTTTCTTGGTGTAATTTTTGACACTAAATTAAAGTTTACCAAACACATTGACTATATTTGTAGTAGAGCTTTGAAAGGTATCAATATTTTGCGGTCCTTAGCAGGAACTTTTTGGGGTTCTGATCCAAAAATTCTTTGTTTATTATATAAAAGCTTAGTACGTAGTCATTTTGATTATAGCTGTCTGGCATATATGAATATTAGTCCTGTATTATTAAAAAAAGCTTGATGTTATCCAAAATATTGCTCTTAGAATTGTTACTGGTGCAATGCGTACCACTCCTATCAATTCTATGGAGGTTGAGTCATGTGTAGAACCACTATGTATTCGGCGAGTATTAATTGCTGAAAAATTTTGCCTGAAAGTAATAACTTCACAGAATGATGTTCTTCTTCCAAAACTTTCTTATTCTATAACTATCACTAATACACCAGATTTGCCTTCAAGTATAACAGCGACTAATGTTCTCAATAACCAGATCCCTGAATTATTGGGAATTATGAGCTTTATGACTGATTTATCTGATAATATGTACAAATCTGAACTATGGCCTGTATATCTCTGTAAATATAAAGCTCTTATGTGTAAATTAAATATAGATATGTCCAGTGTAGTAGATAATATAGACTTTCTGGATTATTGCTGTACCAAGCCTAACAGTTACAAAGTCTACACTGATGGCTCTAAATCTTCATCTGCAGTGAAATCGGGTTACTATGATCCTCAGGCTAAAACCTCAAAATGTTTTATGTTAAGTAATACTTGCAGCATATTTACAGCTGAAGCTTATGCTATCTATCAAGTTGTATTGTACTTACACAGTTTACAAAATAACGATAACTACATGGAGTTCCTAATAATTTCAGATTCAAAAAGTGTGTTAATGGCTTTAGACAAATGTCATACTCATTATAGAAATAATTATTTATTGTATAAAATTAGAGAAGCATTGATATCTTTGGATACTCCAGTAACATTTAAATGGGTGCCCTCTCATAGGGGTATCAAGGGAAATGATATTGTAGATGGTATCGTCAATTCTAATTATGATGAGGATCATAGTATTACATGCAGAGTTCCTTTTACGGATTTTCTTTTCGACTTAAAACAAAGAAGTCGCAAGTTATGGGAAAGCTATTGGAAATTATCCTCACAGCATAAAGGTAGTTGGTATGCAGAGATCCAAAAGGAACTCCCATGTAAACCTTGGTATGATAAATACAAAGGAGCCAATGAACGTAAATTTATAACCATTATTAATCGTTTGAGGTTTGGCCACTGTCAGACTCCAAGCCATTTATTTCGTTTTAAAATTATAAATAATAACAGATGTACATACTGTGGAGGAAAGGAGGCCGACTTATCCCACCTCATCTTAAGTTGCCCGACCTTTAAATTTCAACGATTAATACTAGTAACGGATATTATGAAGTTGATGGATTTTGATGAGAATAATCGGACTAAACTTGGAAATTCTTTAGCAAATAACCCGACAAGATCAGCTTTAGACTCATCAGCAGTCACTGCAAATGGTAGTCATCAATGTCAACCATCACAAATAGAAATTCCCCGCCGTGTCCAAGATTTACTGAAATGTCCAGTTCTATTCAAAGCTATTCACTATTATATAAAAAACACGGTTGAGAAAATTTAAAACTCACCATTGTTTTATATTAATTGTATTTTATGTTAAGTTAGTATAGTAAATAGTTATTTGTGTAAGATATTTTGTTATACTTTTTTTTTAAAGTGCCAATGGACTTTGTATCCGGCTAATAAATAAATTAAAAAAAAAAAAAAAAAAAAAAAAAAAAAAAAAAAAAAAAATTTTTTTTTTAAAAAAAAAAAAAAAATTTTTTTTTAATTTTTTTAAAAAAAAATTTTTTTAAAAAAAAAAATTTTTTTTTTTTTTTTAAAAAAAAAATAATTTTTTACAAATTATTAATTCCACAAATTTATATAATCTATTTTATATAATTTTTTTTATAAATTTAACTTATTAAACTTTGGGCGAACTCCCCGTTTTTTATGGGAATTTTTTTTTTTATTTTTTTCTCATAATATGGGAAACAATTAAAATTATATGGGACCCATATTAACTAACGGTATTAACAACGACATTAAATCTAATTGCTTTAAATTGTAATACATATTTCAGATCACTCCACAGAGATCAAGTTTGTTGTGCTTGCAGCTACAAGGAAAAAAAGTTGAATAGATTTATTAAACCCGATTATCTTAATGAATATAACGATGGAAAAGATTATACACCATCATACAATATAGCACCGACAGATATTACTCCCATTTTAATATCGGCGAGTAAATTCAAGAATGCTGCCCAAACAAGTAGAATCATTAAACCTATGATGTGGGGAATAATACCACCTTGGCATAAGGTTATCTCAAGAACTATTCATGGCTGATTTGATTGAGTATATAAATGAAAGACTTTATAATTGATATTTAAATTTCAACAGGGTGACTACAAAAAACACAATTTAAGCACAAATAATTGTCGCATAGAGAATATAAAAAGTTCTAAGCTATATAATCCGATATTCCGTGATGGTGGTAGATGTATAATTTTAGTAGAAGGATTTTATGAATGGCAAACTTCTGAGAAGACTAAAAATAAACAACCATACTATATTTATATGAAACAACATCCCAATTTAAAGGTAAAAACAAAACTTAGAAAAGTAATTTTGTTCCTGGACAGTAAATTTTTTAAGAACACTTGTCTAAAATTTTGGGTACTTCCTGAACTAAATATCTTCGTATGAATGTATTACGCATTCTGCTATTCCTTTGAACTAAATTTACATGATAATAAGTTTAGGTTTAGGATTATGAATGTTGGACAGGACTATTTGTGATTATCAAATTCTGATTCATGAACTCTGATCAAACTATTTAAATATTAATGATGTAATTTGCCATTTTTTTATAAATATTATTTGTTATTCACCTAAAGAATATATGCTAAACTATAATTATAATATATAGACTTAAACTTGAACTTACATACCACCTTAACTACAAATTTTATTTCTACTAAAAATGTTTAAGTACATACATTACTTACATTACAGGTGACTGACCAAACAACTTGGTCCAACAAGTTCAATGAAAATGAAGGTTGGACAGGAATTAAACTTATGCACATAGCTGGTCTATATCATGTTTGGAGAGATGAAAATGTGATCATATATTCTTATTCAGTAATCACAATGGAATCTAATGAAACTCTCAGTTGGCTACATCATAGAATGCCAGCCATTTTAAACAATGAAATTGAAATAAATGTAAGTTAGACATTGGTATTTTCTAACAAATAATTTTTATATTTCAATAAAATCCAACTGTGTTTAAAAAGTTATTTAGCATTTTTAACTATTGAGTACATTTAATTTTCTTTAAGGCTTGGCTCGACATTGATAATGTAAATGCAGACATGGCTTTGGAGTACTTAAAATCTATGCATATATTAGAATGGCATCCAGTATCCACCATGGTTAATAATTCTAAAAATAAATCTGCTGACTGTAATAAAATTATAAATAGAGAAAAAGCGAAATCTTCACAGAAAACTCTAACATCCTGGTTTACAACAAATAAACGAAAGTTAAGTGAATATGAGGAAAAGGAATCAAAGAAGGTTAAGTTATAAATAAAAGAAATTCTTTAACAAGCGTTATATATTTTTTGCAACAAACCTATGAAATTTTTGAAAATGTAATTAGGGATTTTAGAAACTGTTGTTGAAATTCCAACTAAATGTTCTCTATTCTAAATTGTTTGAAGTCTGCCTCACATCTTATCATTTTATGATTCTTCAAGAAATCTTGTATAAAGTCTTTTACTTCATATTCCTCTGAAACAATATATAAGTGCCCATTCTTTTAAGCTGAAATTAGTGACCAAAAGTAGGTACATTACTACACATACCAGGATATTTACTGCATTGATATATCAACCTAATAAGATGTTTAGCAAGAGACTTAAATAGGGCTTTCCCTCTAATCCTTCCTTTGGTATAATATGGAGTGAGAAGTTTGACAACCCATGGAGCAATCCGCTCCTTACAACTAGTAATGAATTCTGATGTTTCCTCAAGGGGTGACATAACACCTTCATCATCACTGTCATCACCAAATAAATCTGCTAACAAATTTTTTATCTGCAAAAAGGTTTAACATGAATTCTCTTAAATTTATGGTATTAACATATGTCAGCATATATAGGTTCTGATACAACTGTATTTGACATTACTATTAGTGATATACCTACACAAGCAATTGTTTTTTTATTTTTATAATGATCAAGTATATAATATATTGTATAATTCAAATATAACATCTCATAAAACCAATGTTTATTTTAGAAGAAACTTTATCAAATTTAGTTATTGTAAAGCATTCTTTAATATAAAATTTACCTTACCCTTAATAATTTTGCTCTATTACAGTCTCTAAGTTGGTCTAGTAGTTCATTAAGTTTAACTTTCAGAAAATATTCTTCACAAATCCATTTATTTGACAGCTTACTACTTTTTGTTGCTTCAATTTTAGTGTTATGTGTTTCTGTCTCTGTGTTTTTTGTTAATGCTTGGGATAGAGAAGTGAGCCTCTTATCTAAAGAACTAATTTGATCTGCATGATGTTCTATGATACAATTATTTTGGTTTGTTTTATTTTGAATATCGTTATTTAACTTTTTTATATCCTCAGAAAATGCAACATCATAAGCATTGGAAAATATTCCATCAAATATATCATCATCATTTGTCCCTCCTTCAAACAGTTTTTCCATTTGTTGCATTACTTCATCAGCATCATGTGATTTTTGAGTTAATGACAAATTTTCATTTGTTTTATCTGCGTTTAACATTTGACAACTAGTATCAACTTGAGTAGCTTTAACTTGTGTTATACCATCAAAATTTGTATTATTTAAAATTAGGGTTTCATTGTCATCAAAGGGTGGTTTATCTCTTCTAATCTTTTTTCTTTGATAACAAGTGCATACACAAGGACAATCTTTACCCATTGTTAGTGTTGTTTGTGACTTCTTTTCATTTTCAGGAGGTTTCTTTAGACATTCAAATAATTTTTTGTTCAGTTTTCCTTTATTTGTATCAGCTTTAACCTGATTTATCTACATATAAAAAATCCTTTAGAAACAATATATATATATGATTCTAAATATAATAATAATAATGTATTTGTTTAGTAAGTAAGAAATACTTGGTAGCAAAGGTCTGAAGCTTGTCAGCTCTTAAATTGAAGTCCTTCTTTTAAATGAAATAAGAAAAATATTTTATACATTACGACTGCAAGCTTATACAGCAGGACTTATATTCAAAAGTCAAGAAAGAAATATAATATTTTAAGGTGATTTGCTGTAGTTATATGGATTATTAAATTACACTTTACAACAATTATCATTATTAAATAATAAAAAAGTTAATTCAAGAAAATTTTATATTGTACTAAATGTATCACAGTATAGAACTACATACCATAGTGACAATGTTTCTTCTGTACAAATTGATCACCATTGAACTTTGTGCTGCAGTTGTCTCAATTATTTTAGCACACCGCCAAATTGCACTCGGGAGGTAGATATTCTTATTTAGTAATTTTTGGTGGTTTTCATAATTTAAAGCTAGTAATTTTATGACATGCTCCATGTAATGTTTTCTTACCTATAAGCATTCAGATACTTTAAGTATATATATATAACATCAAAATACTAATACACAGCGATAAATTACTTAATTTATTATACCTTAGAAATTAGAAGATGGGGCTCAAATTCGATTTCAGGAAGTGGTATTACAGAATTATCATGTTCTTGAATCCATTTTTCAATCATCTGATCATTGTCGTCCATTTCAGTACTAAGCTTATTTTAAATATTCAAATTATTTAGCAAACCGCCTTATTTAAACTACCTTGTATTAAACAGTTAAACACAAATAACAATAATTCAGAATTTTGACAGATCAGCAGTGTTACCAATTTTCATTATTATTATCATAAATAATTGTCTCGGCCAAATGTCAAATGACCAGACTGAACACTCCCGCCCATGGCCTTGTCTAAAATATTATTTCTTCTATGAACTAAAATCTATAATCTCTTAAGATAAGTCTAAAGGTATCTAGCCAGGCCATAAACTCAAAAAAAAAAAAATGCAATTATAATTATTTATTTTCTAGCTACAAGCCTTTGGTAGTTTTTTTTTTTTTTTTTTTGTTAACTGTGGAGGAGACCACTTGGCAGTATCCAGGTTTTGTCCTCAAAAAGCAGCTCAGATTAAAAAACATGAAAATAATTATTCATCTAAAATGTATTCAACTGTATTATTGTCAAGTGATTTTCCTCCGTTACCTAGTGATAAATCAGTTGTAAAGTTGGCTCACAATAAATTAGCTTCAGCTACTGTCCAACCTAAGAAAAAAAAGTTATCACAAAATTCATCAGATAGTTCAATTCCAGTCCAGTCTGCTCCTCCTAATAGTGGTTCCTATGATCAGCTCATTAAAGATGATCAGTTCTTGAGTAAAATTATCAAAACTTTAGTTATGTTAGGCAATTCTAATACAGCAAACACAACTGCACACATTAAGGATATATTAATACAAAACTTAACAAAATAATGGATTATTTACGATTAATGCAACATAACATACAGAGTATCAATAATAAAAAACCACTTCTTAAATCTTTATTATATGATAATAAAATAGATGTGTGCTTGCTAAATGAAACTTGGTTAAAAGATTCTGGTCTGCCTTTTTATATACCTGGTTATATATTTGTTGGAAAAAATGCTAAAAATGAGCATGGAGGTGTAGGTATTTTAATAAAAAATGATATTAAATTTAAGGTCTTAAAAACTACTTTCTATCAAAATATTCAATTTATAGCTATTTCTATAATAACAGGATGTGGTCCTGTCTCAGTGCTCTGTGTCTACTGTCCACCAAATAATAGCTCAATTAGTTTGATTAATTTGAGAAAGATTATTTTGCAATTACCCAAGCCTTGTCTTGTATCTGGTGATTTTAATGCTCACAATATAGCTTTTGGTTGTGATACTACCAATTCAAGAGGTCGTGAATTATTTGATATATTTGATGATGCTGATTTATGTATTTTAAATTCTGGTGACCCTACTACTATTTCTAGACCTGGTAATAATGCATCAGCCATTGATGTTACTTGTGTTAGCCCTGATATTGCACCACTTTGTGAGTGGTATGTCGGTGATGACTCTTTAGGGAGCTATCATTTACCTACTTTTGTTAACATCATTACCTCAACTCAAAAATATACAGTACAAGAGTCTATACATAAGTATTTATATAATAAAACAAACTGGAATATGTACAATGATAAATCCAAAGATATATTTGATAAATTTTCTCCTTCAACAATTGATCCTTTAGTTCAATATGATGAATTTTCTAAATTACTACTTAGTTTAAAAGAAAACTGTGTTCCATTGTTAAAGCATAAATCTTCTAGTAAAAAGTCTGCTCCTCCAGCTCCTTGGTGGAATGATACTTGTGCCGAGGCTGTAACCAAATCAAGAGAAGCGTTAGCTAATTATAGACGTAATATGACAATGGACAATTATATAGAATATAAGAAAATAGATTCGAGGAAAAAAAATATTATAAAAATGGCTAAGAAAGACAGTTGGAAAAGTCTTTGTTCGTCTTTTAATAGATTCACTCCAGTATCCCGAGTGTGGAATTTTATTAGAAGATTTAAGAGAATTAACATTAATAGAAATGTGTCCAAAAATGATGAGTGGATAGCAAGTTTTTTAGAGAAGTTAGGGCAATCTAGTAATAACAACGATAATATTTCTGGTTTATTTGAATTTAATGATGGAAGTCAGTGGAGCAAGTTTCTACTTAACTCTTTTTGTTTTGAAGAACTTGACATGGCTTTGTCTTCATGAAAGAATACAACTCTTGGTCTTGACGATATTCCTTATATTATGCTTCAAAATCTACATGTTTCTGTAAAACATATTCTACTTAATATTTTAAATTCGCTTTGGTCTCAGCAATTGATTCCAGAATCCTGGAGGTTGCAATGTGTCATACCAGTGTTAAAACCTGACAAACCCAATGATCATTTTAATTCGTACAGACCCATTTCTCTTACATCTTGTGTAGGGAAATTGTTTGAGCAAATGATTAAGATTAGACTGGACTATTTTGTTGAAAACCAGAAACTTATTCCTTCTTGTCAGTTTGGATTCAGAAAAGGCAAAAGTGCAGCAGAAAGTTTTATAGCTTACCTGACTGATATGAAGAAGTGTTTGTTATCAGGTTCTACTGCAATTTGTGTTTTCCTTGATGTTCAGGGGGGCATATGATAATGTAGATCTTCACCAATTAATTAAGGTGCTATATTCTTTGGGCTTCCCAGGAAAGCTTTTAAAATGGATTTTCCATATGTATTATGGTCGTTCTTTATACATTAAATACAATAATGTTTTTCATGGTCCAAAATTAGCATTCAAGGGGTTGATGCAAGGGTCTTCTTTATCTCCAATCCTGTATAACCTTTATACTTCACAAATATATACATATGTGACTGAATCTGTAAAAATATTACAATTTGCTGATGACATCTTAATATATAGTGTAGGCAGTAATTTACAGGTTACTCAAGCAAAAGTTAATTCAGCTTTATGTCAACTTAACTACTATTATACTGAGATACTTAAATTAAATATAAATAGTAGTAAAAGTTCAGTTTTAGCTTATGGTATTGATACTAATGTAAATGTTAAGTATAACAATAATTTAATCCCTCAAAATAGCGAAAAAAAGTTTCTTGGTGTAATTTTTGACACTAAATTAAAGTTTACCAAACACATTGACTATATTTGTAGTAGAGCTTTGAAAGGTATCAATATTTTGCGGTCCTTAGCAGGAACTTTTTGGGGTTCTGATCCAAAAGTTCTTTGTTTATTATATAAAAGCTTAGTACGTAGTCATTTTGATTATAGTTGTCTGGCATATATGAATATTAGTCCTGTATTATTAAAAAAAGCTTGATGTTATCCAAAATATTGCTCTTAGAATTGTTACTGGTGCAATGCGTACCACTCCTATCAATTCTATGGAGGTTGAGTCATGTGTAGAACCACTATGTATTCGGCGAGTATTAATTGCTGAAAAATTTTGCCTGAAAGTGATAACTTCTCAGAATGATGTTCTTCTTCCAAAACTTTCTTATTCTATAACTATCACTAATACACCAGATTTGCCTTCAAGTATAACAGCGACTAATGTTCTCAATAACCAGATCCCTGAATTATTGGGAATTATGAGCTTTATGACTGATTTATCTGATAATATGTACAAATCTGAACTATGGCCTGTATATCTTTGTAAATATAAAGCTCTTATGTGTAAATTAAATATAGATATGTCCAGTGTAGTAGATAATATAGACTTTCTGGATTATTGCTGTACCAAGCCTAACAGTTACAAAGTCTACACTGATGGGTCTAAATCTTCATCTGCAGTGAAATCGGGTTACTATGATCCTCAGGCTAAAACCTCAAAATGTTTTATGTTAAGTAATACTTGCAGCATATTTACAGCTGAAGCTTATGCTATCTATCAAGTTGTATTGTACTTACAAAGTTTACAAAATAACGATAACTACATGGAGTTCCTAATAATTTCAGATTCAAAAAGTGTGTTAATGGCTTTAGACAAATGTCATACTTATTATAGAAATAATTATTTATTGTATAAAATTAGAGAAGCATTGATATCTTTGGATACTCCAGTAACATTTAAATGGGTGCCCTCTCATAGGGGTATCGAGGGAAATGATATTGTAGATGGTATCGTCAATTCTAATTATGATGAGGATCATAGTATTACATGCAGAGTTCCTTTTACGGATTTTCTTTTCGACTTAAAACAAAGAAGTCGCAAGTTATGGGAAAGCTATTGGAAATTATCCTCACAGCATAAAGGTAGTTGGTATGCAGAGATCCAAAAGGAACTCCCATGTAAACCTTGGTATGATAAATACAAAGGAGCCAATGAACGTAAATTTATAACCATTATTAATCGTTTGAGGTTTGGCCACTGTCAGACTCCAAGCCATTTATTTCGTTTTAAAATTATAAATAATAACAGATGTACATACTGTGGAGGAAATGAGGCCAACTTATCCCACCCAGTGTTCACAACCTGAAGCCAGGCATTTTACCAGGGCCGAAAATTATCGTATTGGATCCTATCGATAAATTATCGTACAGTCAGGAAAATGGCTAAAAATTTTTAAAAATCATTGAAACGTGAAAATAATGTTGCAACGTTTTAGTTTAAATCTTGTAAACTTGTGTTTTTCAAATTGATCTCTTTCGTCAAAGAGGAACAAAATCGCATTTTTCTCGTTGAACAATTGGTGTTCGCTCTAGTGATATACCTATTGTCCCTAAACTCGCTTTTTTATCACTTAAAATTCGTTGGTATTAAATGTTATCGAAGACTTCCAAATCTGCGTCCCATACAATCGTGATTTTTTGGCTGTGCATTCTGTGCGTTTTTGTGTTTGTACTTACGCTTTGTTCTCTGTGTGTTGCCTTGTGACAGCTGTTCCTAATAGAAAAATGCCAATGTGGCCTGACACTAAAACTGTATTGTTTTGGGCTATCTGTGTAATCTCAAATTTTTTTCAGACTGCAATTATCGTACAATCTGCGTACGATAGTCATGTCCATCGTACTCGTCGTAGTTTGAAATTTCGCAATGTCGTATTTCGTCGGTTGTGAACCCTGATCCCACCTCATCTTGAGTTGCCCGACCTTTAAATTTCAACGATTAATACTAGTAACGGATATTATGAAGTTGATGGATTTTGATGAGAATAATCGGACTAAACTTGGAAATTCTTTAGCAAATAACCCGATAAGATCAGCTTTAGACTCATCAGTCACTGCAAATGGTAGTCATCAATGTCAACGGCTAGCCGCACACACAAAATAATATTGACAATAAAATACGTATTGTCAATAATATTGTGTGTGTGCGGCCTGTATTGCGGTATTGTTCAATATTATTGTGGATTATCCAGAAATTCAGATATTGTCACGTCAATATCGGGGGGAGGCAGGGGTATTGTCAATAATATTGCCGTGTGCGGACGCGCGGCAATATTTTAGTTGAGAAAAAGATTACAAGGCAGGCGGACGTTCCTGTTTTTTGTTCAAAATGGAGGACGAAAACAGTATTCAAAGCGAAAATAGTGTTGATACTGTTGATGATGCCACTCTCACGGAAAAACACTATTTGTCAGTGTTTATTAAAACATTTATTTATTGTATATATGTAATGTAAGTACAGAAATACATACATTATCCTTACAGACTATGCCAATACGATAATGTCGATAATGTGGGAAACTTAACCAGAATTATGGAATAAATGTAAATCATATCGTGATACAGTTAAGAAAAATAATGCGCTTGATAAGTTGCTCGATATTTATAATAAAATCAAACCAAATAGCACGAGAGAAGACGTAAAGAAAAACATTAATTCCCTACGAACAAATTTTCGGAAAGAAATAAATAAGATTCACAAATCGATATCATCAAACTAAAGATAATAGTTTTTGGAAGCTATCTCTCATTCTCATGTAATTTTTAAAATCATTTTCTTCTGTAACTCGTAGTTCATTTATAGAACTTATATTAGATTAAAGTGTTCCGTTTCTTTCTTGATTGCTTTTTTTAGATAGTAAAATTAATGCAATACTCAATGCAACGATTTTTTTCTTTCTCTCCATTATGTTAAACGTGCGCACATAATCTAGCTGCGGAGCGACTGACTCAGATTGTACCATGAAAAATTGCCAATAATATTGTGTAGTGTGCGGGGACCATATATTGATGAAGATTATTGACAATCTTGCATTGACAATATTATTTTGTGTGTGCGGCTAGCCAACCATCACAAATAGAAATTCCCCGCCGTGTCCAAGATTTACTGAAATGTCCAGTTCTATTCAAAGCTATTTACTATTATATAAAAAACACAGTTGAGAAAATTTAAAGCTCACCATTGTTTTATATTGATTGTATTTTATGTTAAGTTAGTATAGTTATTTGTGTAAGATATTTTGTTATACCTTTTTTTAAAGTGCCAATGGACTTTGTATCCGGCTAATAAATAAATTAAAAAAAAAAGCCTTTGGTAGCAGTTGGCAACACTTCACGACAGTCGACACTCGACACAGCAAATAGCAATCAGCATTGAACAATGAACAATTCATGTCCTAGTTCCTACTGATTGACTCGTACCAAAAGATTTAATTAACCTGTTTGGGAACATGAAGTGTTGGAAAGTATGGCTATGTCAATAAATATTTAATGTATCAAAATTACGCCCAGGATTAAGTATTAAATATTATGTTGTTGTCGTAGAGGTTTGTGTAGTTTCACTGCGATATTCAATTACAAACATGCAGCGTTATGTGAAAAATATTACTTTTTATATTAGCTTCTTCATTAAGAGTAACGTTATTTTATAAATACTATATTCAAAGCACCAGTTATCATAATGGCTTGTGAGAAACATAAAGAATTGGCTCAATATATAAAAGAGGTGCATGCTAACTTGAGAAAAAGTGCAGTCAAAGTCGGGCCAAACAATGCTTGGATGTTGCATACTAAAAACAAAGAGGTATTATTGACGTATGCTAAATATATGCAGGAGCTTGCTACAACATATTGGGAAGAAAACTCTGCAAATGAAGCTAGTTTAGCATCCTCACGAATTGAATGGTCAGTCAAGCTCTGCACTTATTATTTTGTGAACAAAGAATATATTAAATATCGCGAGCGAGACATAGCAATCAGCAAAAAACTTGACCTAACATTAAACTTCGTTGATTTATTTCAAGATCCTCTAGTGCTCTTGGATGTTGGAAGCTGTTATAACCCATTAAGGGCTTATAAGTTATTTCATGTCTTAGCTGTAGACTTATGTCCTGCAAATGACTATGTTCAAAAATGTGATATTTTGCAAGTTAATATAGGAAATGAAACAATTGTACATGATAATACTGTTATGCAATTAAAAAAGGAGTCCTTTCATATAATAACATTTTGCTTTCTTTTGGAATACATTCCTAGTTCAGAGTTACGAATAAAGGCTTGTGAAAATGCCTATAAATTACTTAAACCAGAAGGAATCCTCATAATAAATACACCAGATTCTAAGCATGTAGGTGCTAATAGTAAATTAATGAAATGTTGGCAATACACATTAGCATGTCTAGGTTTTACTAGAATTAAATATGAAAAATTAACACACATGCATTGTATGGGATTTAGAAAAGCACTACACAAAGATGTAGCTTTCAGATGGGCTACTATACATAGGAAAGCAGATACAGAGTTTGCAATGAAAATACCTCAAGATTATATAAAAAGAGAACAAAAGTCATGGCAGTCAGCAGATTTAAAATTATGTTCAGAAGATTTTAAAGATTTACCTTTTTATGATTTATGAATTTTATTATCTAAATTAAAGATTTACATTTTGAGTCTTCTTTATTTGTTACTTAAGCTTATATTATGTACTTATAGTAAATAAATGTTATGAAATTTTAGTATCTTGTATATTAAAGATTAAATCTATTTCACAGTACCGAACTTAGCTTTTCTTTTCTCCAATTTTTCTTGTTTTTCAATGTCGGTCATAAGTGATGATACTGATTGGCCAAACCTCTCTGCCCTCTTTTTAAGTTTGTCAAGATTGTCTGTTAGTGTACCAGGTATAGTTACATTTGATACATTACTTGAAATATTTGTGGCCCCAAATCGCTGTTTTCTTGCCTCCTTACGTATATCATCTGATACTTGAACAGGAAGGCCAAAACGTTTAGCTCTCATTTCTAAGCGTGTCTTTAAATCCAGATTACTTGTAATCTTAACTTTATTAGTTTCCAATGGTGAGATTTTGTCAGCTTCTTCCTGTTCTTTTTCAGCTGGTTGGGTACCAGTTGTGGAAGATGTCATGGAAATAGTTCGGTTTAAAACAATCTTTTTGGGGCCTATTTCCTTACTATCAATAGATTGTTCCTTTTGTATGTCAGTTGTTATTTTTCTTTTCAAATTCTTTTGAGGCTTTGCTTCAACAGATGTTTTTTCTGGTGAGGATTCTTCGAGTGCCAACTCCTCGTTAAGCGTATCGACTGCACTATCTTCCAAAATATCATTATGCGCTTTCTCATCTTCATCATCTAGTATACCTTCTGAGTCTAAGTCATCTGAATCCTGGTTAATATCGGCATGTTCATCGCGTTGTGTCGCAGCCTGAAGTCTTGCTATGAGTTCAGCTTTTTCGCCAGTATAGGGCAACCCACGTGCTCGTAATTCCTTTCGTAACTCTAAACCATTCATCTTAGTAATGTCGATTATTGTGGAATCTGCCATTTTTCAAAAATTTAATACGAGCCTTGAAATGCAATAAAATACTTCAGACGGCATAAAAGTTGGAAACAAATACCTACAGCAATTGTTTACGCCGCAGACGGCAGAAAATCGAAACTACTACAGACTAAAAATGACTAATAAACCACTCGATATCAGATGTCAGCATTGACAGTTAGTCTTACGACTGCAACAGATGATGTAAAAATAAGTGTTCATGTTGCAAGCGGAAGAGGGTGTGTATATCCGAGCCATAAAAGGAGGGTGATATAATTTTGTGATTGGACGGGGTGATGTGTAATTCTACTATATACTTGTACCCTGAATTATGGGGGTGGTGTATTTTACAGGCGACATAGTCATAAGTAGTATAATATAGTATTTTCATTACCAATTGGCAATAAAAATAGCATAATGCAAAAAGTGCAGGCGACAAAATAAAAGTCATTTAGTAATATTATTATAGAATTTAATTAGGGTACATACAAACATTTTGTAATGTTGGAGTATAATGATCAAACTAATAAGCACTTTCGTTGCTAGTGACAATTTGAGTGTAAGTAGTTTCACATCTGTTCAATAATTATAATAATTATATTAAGAGAGGAGTCAGTGTTAAAATAGCGATGCTTGAACTATGCTGTTATAAAAATACATCTATGTTTTATTCTAATTATTACAATAATATGAATATTTTAACCCATATGAGAAAAAAATACTGCAGTCGGTTTTTAACAGTGTTATATACAAAAGCGTTACCTTAAATCGTTTGTGAAGACTCCTCTTTATTTTATTAACGTGACCGTACCTAATGTTCGTTCTTATTTTATAAATCGATTAAAACATTCCATAACTATTTACTCTAATAAAGGAAATCACACTGATATTTTGAAAGCCAACAAAACGAACATAACGAAGCGTTCACTAATAAGTGTTAGCGAAAAACAACAAAGAATCCGGTAGACGCGTCACCGGTCTGACCCGTGACTCCCTAACTCCCTATTTACAACGGGCAGCGCCCGTGGCGAGGCCCGGGTCGGTCCTTTCGCCCTTAGTCTGCCCTGACGGCACTCAACCACCTTAATTGCCTTTCCCAATACTACATGGGAGAAACGACACCAACTGTTTATTAATTGCCACTTGTCTGTATTAACAACAACTATTTTACGACGGATTTTGGTTCACAGCTCTAAGCTTGCACCTGTATTGTATAAGCCCTAATTTACATCCATAGAATTAACTGATAAAGAAATACGTCAAATTATATATATCCTAAAATAAATAGCTTTCGAATACCTTTCTGTTATACAATAAAGGTGCAAAATATTGTGAGGAAATGCCCTAATACCCATTTCTATTAAAATTGAGCATTGCTCAATCTGTCCCATCCCATGCCAGACCAGTAGGCAGACAACTTTCATTATCAGTACAGTCAATAGAAGGAAAACGAATTCTAAAAACTTTGCGGACATACCAGTATGAGACAATTTAAAGCAATTTTCGAATCTTTGTTAGTTTTATGAATTTAGGAAATTTTAAAAAAATGTCAACAAAAATCTAAAATCTCTGAATAAATTTCAGTCTGTAATTAACCAGTCAATTGAACGGGACATTTGTCACAAACCAGTCTTAAAATGTCAGCAGCTTGCATGAAATACATAAATTTAAATTTCTCTGTTCTTACAATTCTAAAACTAGCATTGAATACCCTTTTGAACGTGTTGTCTTCTCTATGGTCCGATTAGACCAGGGAGCGTCGTGGCACATTGCAAAACGTACTCAAATCTGTCGAATATCTCAAACTTCATAGAGAAAAACACACTGCTAAAACAGTATCCTGTTAATTCTTATTGAATCCACTAGAAAATTCATCTCAGAATGTGCAGCCATCGTGCGTTTTTGTCCAATGGCAACACAGAATAGAGTGAATCCATCAGAATTCGTCTAACTGATCAACACAATAGCCCCACTGGATTTGAGTAAGACGTTCCGGAATGTCCTGCCTGTGTCAGGGCAGGTCAGGGCAGGGCAGGGCGGTAGCGGGGCGGGGGCGGCGGCGCTGGGCGGGCGCGCTCCTACCTCCCCTCCGGCATTTGCCTCGCTGCTCCGTGTGTACGAGCAACCGCCTCCTGTAAACAATTGGGATTCAATTAAGTCCGTTTCAAATTTAAGGGAATAGCTGACCTCAATTTTTTTTTAAATTTAAATTTTCTTATATAAATATATTAATAATTATACTGTTGCAAAATTTATTTCAACACATAATTATCAATCAATATATACTGCTCAAAACAATTACGGGAACAAAACTTTAAAGTAGAACTAAACTTTTTACTTAAGGTTTTAATTATTACTGGCCACTAGATAATGTTAAGGCATTGTCGAAGAAAATAAAAAACAAAAGAGCATCGGCGTTTTGGTTAGTAGTCCTATAATGAAGTGGCAGTGTGTCTAGAACCCCTAAAAACAAAGTGAGTCTTTGATTTTCATTACTTTCTAATCACAGAAAACACATTTTAAGTAGTTTTTTTCAATCTTTTGAGTATTAATAGAAATTGAAGTGAGCCTTTTGAGTATTGTTATTCAATGAAGCGAGTGAGTTTAGGTCATAATGCCAGATCTGACTGAATTGCATGTCTCCCGAGCTATCGCTTTGCTTGAAGAGGGTCGAACTATGCGTTATGTAGGAAATGATCTAGGAGTAGCCCCTTCTGTTATCTACAGACTTTGGAAGCGATACCGTGAGACGGGAGAATACTCATGAAGGCGTGGTCAAGGTCGAAAGAGAAAAACTACACGTTTGCAAGATCGCTACATCGTCAACTGTGCTTTACGTAACCGCACCACAACTGCAAGAGATCTACAAAATACACTAAGGACGGCTACTGGTGTAGAAATTTCCGACCAGACGGTAAGAAATAGGTTGTTGGAAGCCAATTTGAGATCACCCCGACCAGTTCGGGCTGTGCGTCTAACAATTCAACATAGACAAGCTCGCCGACAGTTCGCGCAAAATCACGCTAATTGGCAACTTCGACATTGGAGGCCAGTGCTTTTTACTGACGAATCACGATTCCGTCTAACACGTTGCGATGGTCGTCTCCGTGTTTACAGACGCCCAGGCGAGCGATACAGTGCAGCAGCAGTCCAGGAATATGACAAATTTGGTGTGTCTCTGGGGCTGAGTTAGTTTGGACGAGCGCACAGATCTCGTCGTTGTTCCCGGGCGCTTGTGTGCTCAAACTTACATTGAAAATGTGCTCGAAGATCATGTTTGGCCCGCAGCATATGGTATGGGCCCAGATTTTCTTTTAATGCAAGATAATGCCAGGCCGCATACTGCAGCCATCACGTCAGATTACTTACGACAGCAGGAAATCCGTGTAATGGAGTGGCCTTCCATGAGCCCTGACCTAAATCCAATTGAACACATTTGGGACTTGCTTGACAGGCGCATCCGGAAACGTCCGATTGCACCTCAAACACTGCAGCAGCTCACTGAAGCGTTGATTGAAGAATGGGAGCGAATTCCACAAGAAGATATTCGGAGGATCATACGAAGCATGCCGCGTCGTTGTCAAGCCGTGATTAGGGCTCATGGAGGCCACACACGTTACTGAAAGTCACTAAAGACGAATATTCAAACGATATAATAATATAATATTTCTTTGATGGACCTTTTTTATCACCAATTAGTTTTTCGTCTACAATGCACATTTTAATTTTTTATAAAAAAAATACTTGTTTTTAATTGTAGTAATTAACAAATTAACAAGGTAAAAAATAGCGTACAAGTTAATTTAAATCTAATTTTAGTTTAAGCAATAGAAAGGAGAAAAATCTTGTTCCGCTAATTGTTTTGAGCAGTAGATATTTAATAATAATTTGTGAATCAGTCTAATTGCACAGTTAAAATCATTCATCAAGTTGACAAAAACGCACGAAATAGTATTACAGTCCAAATAGTAGTATTTGAATTAAAAAATTGGGTCGTCGACAGGTAAAGACCCAATTTTCAAGTTCAACTGCAGCAAGGATACCAAAATATTAAACCCTAGTGCTTAACTTAAATATTTGTATCAAAACTAAAAAATAATAATATAAATATTTAAAATACGTCAGAGCTGTGGGACTCGGGGCTTTACCGCATTCCACCAGAGTCCTATTTTTAAAGCAACTCAAAAAAATACGATCAATTCGACGTTAATTTTGAGTGGGTACCTTTGTGCGTGGTTGTGGCTTGGCGCGCGGAACAGGCTGCGCCGGGGCGGCCAGCTGGGGCCGGGGAGTATCGGGGGGCTGAGCGGGCGGCGGGGCGGCATCGGGCTCAGCGCGAGGCGTGGGCTGAGCCGGCCTCGGGGTGGCTGTTGTGGGTGGCGCATGGCCCAGTGACGCCATTAACAGACCACGGATCAATGCCGCGCGGCACGATGCCTCCCCGCTTTCACTGGTCTCGGCGCCGCCTGGATTATTTATTTAATAATTTAATAACGCTGAGACGTATTTCATTATTTATTTTAAATAACATGATCGTTGATTGTGTGGACTATTCAGTCAACAGTTAAAGTAAGTAAGTAAAATCGTCGCATGTCTGCGTTTGTTCGACACAATTTAGTCAAGAGTTATATAAACTAACATTAGTTAAGGTACATTTATGTTAATAATTGGAAGCGCAAACAACATTTTAGCAATCATAAAGATGGATTTTTAACAGACCTATGAAGACGTATAATTATGAATGAAACTTTAGGAATATTAGGTTACCCAGAAATCCAGAGAGCAAGAACTGCGAGTCGGTGTTGTCAGTGGGCTGCGGCTGTGAGGGCGGCTGCGCTGTGGCCGGCGCAGAATTGCTCGCGCTCGACGACGCCATTGCTGGCCGACGCGGGAGACGTTCTAGCTGTTGCCGAGCCGCCTGTAACAATTGTTTAATTAATTTACATAAAGTGTATCTAAATTTGCATAAACAATACGATATTTAAATTAAATTTTTCTTCTTTTTTGTACTGTTATCATATTTTTGGTGGTTCAGTACACAGACGTTTTCTGTTGAGCTTTGAAAGATATATAATTATAGCAGACTCGGCCAAGCTTTGCTGTGGCTAAAGTTTTTGTTGTATTACATAGTAGTAAACTATTCAAGGGAAACGGTAGGAGAACACCAGTCATGGGGACCCATGGGGACAATGCTTTTTTTGGGGGTTATGCCATTAAATTGTAGCTTATGTGAAACGTTGGCACTTTCAACACAGTGCCATCTGTTAGAATTGTGACTGTCAAATAATAAACAATTTGCAATAAATTAATATTGCGGATATAAATTGAGATGTAAGCTATCCTATCTTTTAAGTTGGATCAAACTACTCACGGTGTGCAAATTTGATTGATATCGGTTCGGTAGTTTAGGAGTCCATAGCGGACAAACAACGTGACATGTAATTTATATATATTAAGATAGTGTTCTTTTCTAGTCTTTCAAAATCAATTTAACTTAATTTCTCGTCCATCAGTCCTGCATTGTAATTGATATAATTATATTTTTGCTTAAAGTCCACATATTACCTCTAGCGTCTATAGAGAGCGTTCAAGTATTACGTAACGAATTTTGGAGGGGGGGGAAGTCCTTTTGTAAAACGTTACGATGCGGGGCGGGAATTGAATTCGCGTTATTGTTAATATTATTTTCAACTGTCCTGTACTTTACACCACATAATGGTAACTTTTAGGTATGAAGTCACTTTGGTGGTCACGAAACGTTTTACTATTGGGTACAGAAAAACGTTACGGCACGTTACATGGGGGGGGGGGGGTTAATAATCTCCAATTGCGGGACGTAATACTTGAACGCTCCCTTAGCACACTCGATAACAATAATTGTGAAATATATGTGGATTTCGCTAGTTCTATAGATTAACAAAATAGTTTTATAATGTGAATTATAAGGGAAAAAAAATTAAATTATAATTTTTCGCATTTGCACTCACATGCTGCTGCCTTTCAAGCTGCAACTGGATCTGCAATTGTTGTAACTGGTTAGGCGTGTTAGGCTGACCGGCCACACGCCGTACGCCAGACAACTGGGAGAGCAATTCTGCTATTGGATCCACCACCGCGTCACGGGACGACGGGGAGAGAGACGAGATACCGCCGCTGCTGGAAGGTTCAACAAACAAACACAACATCTTTATACTTCCGAGAAAGTTGTTGAGGCTTAGAACGCATAAGAATTGGTTGGCGATATTAGAATAATAAAGCTACACGAACACACATACCACATAGTTTGTTTTTCAACTGTAGTTTCTTAACAACTTAGTTCGCTAATATCTTTACAGGTTGGAAACCTATTTATTTCTTTTACATTGAAACAGCTGCGAATCGATTGTGATGTTTAAACAATACATAAAATAAACTAAAAGCAGGATGTGTAACCGAAACACTGATAAAATTAAGATATAGTAATAACAAATCGTGAACTGGAATAGCTTTTAAGTTGTAAAAATAAAATACGTATTGCAATCGAGGAGACAAATATTAATGAATACTAAATAAAAAATTTACTGCCATTTTAATTAGTATTAAAACGCTAAGCTAGTGCCACCGACTATTTCAACATTTAAAAAATCTATTAGAGAAATAAAAAAATGCTTGATACCTAAATTGCATATTGCGCCTCGGACGATGGAAGCCACGTCCGGAAGCCGGCATGCGACGTACTCCGCCGTGCCTTATACCACTCGGCTCATCGTGTTTATTAGTTAAGGAAATACATATGATGTTTGTAGCCCAATTAATTATTTATAAATTATAAATATATATATATAACTAGCAGACTCGGCCAAGCGTTGCTGTGGCTAAGGTTTTTGTTATATAACATAGTAGTAAACTATTCAAGGGAAACGGTAGGAGAACACCAGTCATGGGGACCACCATGCCATGTGAAACGTTGGTACTTTCAACACAGCGCCATTTGTTAGAATTGTGACTATCAAATAATAGCCAAATATTTTGCAATAAAATAATATTGCGGGTATAAATTGAGATGTAAGCTATCCTATCTTTTAAGTTAGATCAAACTGCCACACACACACCGTGTGTGTGCAAATTTGATTGATATCGGTTCGGTAGTTTAGGAGTCCATAGCGGAAAACAACGTGACACGTAATTTATATATATTAAGATAAATAGATTAGAACAAAATATTGGAAACGAAATGGACTACTGGCATATTTTCTGTACTGTAATTCGTTGTAGTTTCGTGGTTCTTAATTCATGGTTGGTTTAGTTAGTTTTTGCTTATCTATTAATTGCCTTAAATTATTTAATTATCAACCCGCCCCGGTTTCGACTTGGTAAAGGTAACCTCTTTGAAAAATTATAATTACACCTTCCTCATGAAGAATTGGCGTAAACCGCAATAAATTCGGTGTAGTAGTTTTTGAGTTTATCGCAAACAGACATGCAGATAGACGCAGTGGTGGACATGTTTTTATATAGTATAAAAACTACTTCTATTCCTTAAAATTGTTAGCTTTTAAATATGAAACAGATAAGCTCTGAATTCTGCACAACTAGTATTTAATATATGAGGTTTATTGTCTATTAAAAAGGATATAAGAAATGAGATAAGATCCCTAGGTCCACTTCGGTGTTCAAGAGTGAGATGGCCAGCAAAGTCATCTGTTACAAAATTGGGCTCTCCTCCAGGCATAGAAGCACAAACTGGACACACCACCTTAAAATAATGCATATGATTTTTAATATATTGTCAAAATAAATAATAAGTCATTTACTGTGCTGTTTCAATGTGCTGGCATCAACCAAACAATATTTAATGATCATTGCAATAGATTAATACTAAAAAAAAAACTTAATAATAATAAAATATCAGTTATTTTAATCATATGGTAAATTCAGTATAAGCCTTAGCGTAAATTATATAAAGATTAGGTCTAAAACAGGATTAAAAAATAATAAACATCAGAAAAAATCCTTTTAAAGCAGCTTCCTAAGTAGGTCAAGAAAAGGTCAGCTCATAGTAGCTTGTAATTATTGTATAACATGGTTATTGTTAAAGGATATGAATTCCTAATCACATTTAAAAACTCCCTAGTGTGTTTTTAACACTGATATTTTTGATTTAAATTTATATTAAAGGCTATATATTCATATTTTCTATAGCATATTCAACATAATATTTAAACAGATTATGGGGCTCCAAAACATGTTTTAAATCACTATCTTATTTTGAGCATTGTATTAAATAATAATATTTAATAGTGGTTAATCACATTAATCACATTTTAAAATAATCAGGAGGTAAAAATACATTAGTTCATTGCTTACAGCCACGGTGGTGTCATTATGGTCGGAAGTGACATGTTCCATTAAACCTGTATCTGTGAAGCCCATTCTATTGCAAAATGGACATGTATAGGCTTGAGGTTGTTCCAATGCCAAAGCCTCTCCGCCATAGTAGAGATCTAAAGCAAAACAATAATATACAAACATTAAATTTTCACCAAGAATAGCTATAATTCTAAATGCTTAACTGTTTGCTTTCTTTACTGAAATCAATTAATTCTCATTACAAAAACAGACATGTAGTAAAAATAAAACTAGACAAACAGAAAAAAAAATTGTGAACTTTAACATTAAACCTTGTAGGACTTCAAATACATTTCAATCTTTATAACTAAGTTAATTGACCAGCTAAATTAAAAATCATGAATAGTAAAATTCCAGTAATTTAAAACTATATAATAAATGTTTTAATAAATCCAAATCTTATTAAATAATTAGGTCATTTGTTTTATTTTATGGGGAGTCTAACTAAAAGGATAAATCAAATAAAGCCTTAAGCATCAAAGTTGACCACACTTAAAAAAAAATTAACAAAAGAATTTTAGAAAACATGCATCTATGCTTATTAAGTTAACACAATTAATCAATGGCTTTCAAGAAATTTGATAATATTTTTTTAGTACAGAATCAAGTTAATACAAAAGAACATGAAATAAAGTTTGAAATGAAATCTGAATAAATACTATTTATACCCTTTCAATGAAATTTCAGTCTAAGCTCTAATTAAATTATCTCATGACAACCATATTACACATGTATTTATATATTATGGTTTCACTTGTATAGAGGGACAACTTGGATGAGTATGTTAAAAATCAATATTTAAAAAAGAAAATTATTGTTAGAAAAAGTCCAGAACACAAAATCCTTAGTTTGGAAGTTATTACGTCTTATAGTATGCTCTAATGGGATATGTGACAAATCTAGGCCAAGTTGAATATTCTTAAATAATAAAAGATATTTACCAAAATCACTTCGTGAAAGTATACACTGCATTGGATGCTCAGTGGTATGTTGATTTGTGGTGGCACCAGACTCGTAGCATGCAGCACACAAGTCGTAATCGATGCAAATCAAACATTTGTATCGCCGTCCTCTAAAGTTATTTTTCAAACAAGAATCACAGCTGACTCCTGGAAAGAGATACTCCATTATATCAGATTTTAGTCATTGATAATTAATTTGACTATCAACAAATTTTTGCTTAGAAACGTACGAATGACTGTTTACAAATTTCACGAAGAAAATTCTGACAAAAAGGCTACGATTTTTGATTATCATTACCTACCTTCATGGCGATTCATTTTCGCCAAGATATGGCGCCGAATCACACTAATCTTGGCGACAAAATTACTGCTACTTTATGAGGTATTTATATTACTAATCTAAATTAAGTAGCACAACATCTAATATAATAAAATACAAGATTTTAACAAAAATTTCCAATCAAACCTAACCCAACCAGGCCATAATGACGTCACATAATGACAAGTGCTGCCACCCTTCAGAATAAATCAGAAAGCGAATGAATCACAGATTAAACATTTTTGAATACTTTAAGTCACAGCCTAAGGATTGGGCCAATTTAACCTAGGCGAATATTACAAAGCGAGAATAATCGTAAACGAATTATCCGACATGCTTTGTGATCATAAAGGAAGGAATTGTTATAACAAGTTGATAGCGTTAAATCGCGACTCTGAATCTGAAACCAAGTATTCCCGTAAACTACATAAGATTAAAAGAAAATATCAGTAAACTATTTTCCTAAAGAAAGGAGACCTGTTCCTGTACTGATTGACCCGAGAAATAAATGCACGGCCAGTGTGTGTGAACATCCCCAGTAATCTTATCTGCATAGCAATGAATGATTTTAAATTGCAACATATCATCGACATGCAGAAGAAAATGGGTCGGGAAAAGGACACAGCCTTGTGGGACCCAGTATTCACGAGTTTAAGGACTGAGCATGCCTCATAAATGACGACGTTGATGCTCTGATCACCCAGTTCAAACTGCATAATTTCTCGGAGAGCCCATAGTATGAAAGAAGTGTTTTGTGACTGACTTTGTGACTCTCCGTTGGACTCAATTGCCTTTGCTCATCTGTGTGTAAGCTAATCAGCCGGTGGCCCTCTACATACCCCCAAACTTTTATTATGTTCACGGCGTGTGTTCAACAGGGTGCCTTTGTTAGTTCTACTTCGTTAGTTCTGAGATCGATATATATATATCTGAATAATGTTGAAATTGGTGCGTTGTTGAATGTTTAACTTACACATAGCTATGTGTAAGGGTGAGTAATTCGGCAAATTGATATACTTTTTTACTTGGTGGTCGTAAACTCATTTATTGATTTGGATATTTTTAAACTTTTTAAATACTATCAAATGAGTGTGTATTAGTTGGTTGTATGCATTGATATACAAAAAACCCAAGATGCACACTCAACGTCTAAAAAACGTCCTCAAAAAATGAGCGCAACATTCTAAATTGTGCGGTCACATGACAAGACGTCGTTCACAAAACTTTGTTATTCTAAAAAGTTAATATAATCATTGTTTGGAATACTTTTGTGAAAGTTGTAGTTGCGGTACAATGTTTTTTATATATACACACATGACACACAGTAGTATGCGTGTTTTATGGTAAATTATTCTATTAAAAAAAATTATCATAATTTGTTTTACTTCCATAATCCATATTAGCCCGACTAACTCTCCAAATATCTGATTTCCATTTTCTATACAGATTCTTTTTGACATGTCGGCAAAAGCGTTCAAACATACATAATGTTTTCGTCTGATTCGGATAGTGATTTTGAATAAGACCTTCAAATTCTCTTAGCAATGAAACTTCTTAAGAGCAAAAAAAAGAAAAGATACTGGGTTCCCCCTATAAACAGAGGGAGACAAGACAAAGGTGAATTTCATCGTCTTGTTAAAAAATTAGAGAGTGACGAAGAGAAATTTCATCATTTAATTTCATATATGCTAGATGTTCGCGCCATGAGCCACGCGCCGGTATAGAAACACATTTGCCAGTTGCCTGTTGTGTCGTGTCGCGTCATAACCCCCACCACCGCTCTGGCGAAATCGGTGGCGAGCAGTCGGCGCCACGACAGAACGTGATGCGACACGACACGACATGCAAATATGTGTCTAATCATATTATTAAATGTATGAAACCAATATGCTTCTGGCGCGTCACGACACGCCACGACACGTGTGTTTCCGCCTTAAGCCCCTTAGCTTAGAACTTAGAAGTATTAGCCCGGAAGAAAACTACTGCCAACCTATGGTAGGGGAGCCCAAGAGGGGATTTCGGGATTTACTAAAGCGCGGCAGATTAATATACAGGGGGATAGCTTGTACTCGGTTAAGTACCTCCACAAAACATGAGGTCCATATATAAGGCCGCCTGTGAAGGAGACAGGATCAGATTAGTAAAAAAAAATTGACCATCAGAAATTCCCGAGCGCATCAGATTAAGGTAGGGTGAGTTAATTACATCCTAAAAAGTGTATATTCCACTAATCTGACAATTTGAGAGTGACGGAAAAAAAGGGGAGGGCAACAAAGTTGTAAAAAAAAAACGTCATCTCGACATTCTCGAGCGTGGCTAATTTTTTTTTTATTTTGAAGGAAATAATTCAAGAATAATGAAAAATATATAATCTGACGATTTCCGCAAGCCGAAATAACAAAAATCCGTCGATAAAGTTAAATGCGTGCAGCTGCGTGATGCCTACATTTCCTTAAACCGATCGGAATCTACTAAACGGCGTTCTAAATATTTCCCTCAAAATTACATTTCCTGTGAATTTGAACCGATTCGGACCGATACATTTTGAGAAATTTTGAAAAATCTTAAAAAAATAAGAAATATTTTTTTTTAAAGTGGTTTCTTTATCGATCAACTTCAAAAACTAATCCGCCTTTGAGCTTGAAAAACCACGTTGATCGCCACTAAGCTGGTCAAAAGCGGTTGATTCGTTCGAGAGATATCGTCAACGAAAGAAACCCGAAAAAAGTGTTTATTCGGGATTACTCCGAAATTTGTGGTTCGATCAATTAAAATTACTTATGAGGATGATAAAACTGCGTCGAATGCCGCCAACCGCGTGAAAATTGCTTGATCCATTCAAAAGTTATTGCGGTTTGAAAATTCCAAAAATAGTGTTCTATGAAACTTCTATCAGACTTTCGAGCTGGGAGAGCTCAAATGCATAGAAATGTTATTTCTTTGAACTCAGCGAGCTCAAAATATCAATTTTAAGCGCCCAGGAATGGAATTAGCGGGAAGTTGCAGGGATGGCCCTTTAGGTGAACCGTTTTTCTAATTTTTTTTTGTCAGATCAGGCGAATCCCTCTAGATAATCGTCAGATTATGAGACAGTACGTTTAGAACATAAAGATGAACCACATATATTTTAATCTGACGCGCTTGAGTATTTCAAAATTGCGATTTTTTTTTGCAAATTACGAAAATGGCTGTGGGTTTGCGTCCCATCGAAATCGTCAGATTAGTGAATGAGAGCTTTTTTTTGGTGCACTTAACACTCCCTTAGAAAATCTGACGCGCTCGATAAATTTTTTTTTTTCATTTTCAACCCTTAAATACAACCACCCGCATCATGCAAACGATCAGATTAACATACGTACATTATTAAAAATACGTAGGGCATAGATGCTATCAATATCTGACGCGCTCGAGGATGTCCATGCAACAGTTTTTTTTTACATATTTAACTATCTATAGCCGCTTCCCCCACCGATGAAAAGGAATTTATCATATAACATTTTTTTCTTCTTATTATCTAAGCTTTGCATCCCAATAGGTCTCTACGACGCTCGAGTAAATCCCCATTTAGCATCGTGGGCTCCCCTACCACTACGTAAAGTCAAACACGACCAAGATTATTTTTATCTTATTTTTTATAAAGTACTAGTAAATAATCAACATATTCCTTCTTTTGCTATTTTAAGGCAGTTTATATGCTTTAGTAATTAGTTCTTGTTAGCACTGACCCCTAAAACACGAACGCTTTGTTTTCGAGTCAACAAATGAATATTTTTTTTAATTACTAGTTACTCTCTACAAAGAAAAATATAGTATTTTCAATGTCAACAGTTATAAAATAATACATAGCAGCAAGATTCTTTAATTTCTGCTAGTATCTACTTCTTACATTAAATCTTATTCTAGTGTTAATTCATTTGTATTTATTTTTAATCAGTAGGAAGTACAAATTCAAAATTGAATATATTATCAGCTATAGATGTGTAGTTTTTAGTTTTTGGGCAAACAAAAAGAGGGCGTGTGATCATATTTAGCTTCAAACTTTAGGCGAGAGTGGCTCCTTTATTCTTATTTCTTACCTTAGTCTTGAGTCTTGATCCTGTGTTTACAGCTTACGGAGTTATCTACTGTAAGTTGTAGCAAAAAGGTAAAGCTAAAAATACTGTTTAAAATGGCTGTAATTTAAAAATTTCGTTCGTTCAGATATTTAATTCTAAAACATGTGGAAATATGTAACGCGTCGTTTGAGGGACACAATTGAAAAAAGTGCTAATCATTTTGATAAACGAAGTTCTGCTTTTATTAACACTCCGAATGAGTTTTGTGACGAGAATAATAAAAAGTACAGTTCCCCATGCTGTTGGTTTAACCCGCGTAAATGTTGGAGTTCCTATCAAAATGATGATGCCAAAAGTAAAAAGTGGAATTTCGACCACTTAAACCGCACTTGGATAGGTGCCATTACATGGGTATGTAAATTATTATATAGATTTGTTGTCATTACTTGTTGTCCTTCCTTTCATTTTGTGAGCCAACTTCATTCACTATTATTATAAGTTAAAGCTTACTGCCACTCATTGATTTAAAAAATGCAACTATTGTCTTGAATTTACAGAGCAGTGCTTTGGTATTCGGTTGGTATGCTGGGCAATTAATCCACCTCAACATTAAGAATCAAGTTGCTAATAAAAAGTATCAACACTCAAGTATTAATTCACTTCTTGCATCTCTACAGCATCTTAGACATGCACAAAATGCTAATAAATTAGACACCATCTATGAGATAGCTGGCGATAATACAGTGGCACCTGTTCTTCATTTGATATCAAATGATCCTAAAGGAGAAAACAAACCCAATAGTGATAAAAGTTCTGATAGCTCTAGTGACGATCTAGGTGAAGTTCTGAATTCCATTGAGAACAAATTGGGCTTAGCAGCTATTGAGAATGGACAACATAAAGATGGTTTGAACTTGTTAAGGTAAATTTTTGCTATTTTTACTATCTATAATGACGTCTTTGTAATACTATAATGAAAATTAAGTTCCATGATGGTTAGGTTTATAGAACTAGAAGTGCAGTATTTTGTGATAATTTATCAATATCCTGAATGATATGATGTTTCTCAAGAACAATTTATAGCATATTATAAAAAAATTATCGCAATAATTGTGGCTTATATATTATATATATGTCAACGTAAAATTGTAAACACCGTTAGATTGTAATCTATCTCGCGAGATTGTAAACTGTCGAAAGATTGTGAACTCAACGTACTGCTTACAATTTAACGTATTATTATTCGGTAGATTATAATCTATCGAAGTGAAATCGTCAAATTGTGAAACGGTACGCACCTCGCGCGCTGATTGGTTGAACGGAATATGCCACGCGCCACCATATTTGTTTGTTAATTCGTTTGTTGTCGAATGTAAACAAACGGTGTTTTGGTGAATATAAATTGATGTCGTGTTGAAAGTAACTCACAGCTTTAGAGGTTGAAAGTGAACGTGAAAAGTTATATGAAATTGTTGTGGAAGTAAAATTAATCTGTGATTGACCAAAGAAGTGCAGTTTGAATGATAATTAAGTTAGTGTTGGTCTCCAAACATAGTCTAAATTACATACATTTTCTGTGTTTTAATATTTTTTATTCGCGTGGAACTTTGTGATCTCGTATTTGCAAAGTCGGATATCAATATCCGTCTGCCGATCAACAAAACTCAGAAATATTAGGTATTGTTAATCAGGAAGAATTTACCATAGAGTTACAAAACTATTACAGCGGGCATAATGAAAATAGTAAAAAATGTAATTGCAAAAAAATAAGTGCCTTTCGAAGAAGTGTAATTGCAAGAAAGCTAATGTTCTTTGTAACTCCAGGTGCCACAACTCGTTGACGTGCAACAATAATTGAACATTTATTTTTATTTATTTTTTATTGGTGCAATTTACTTTCTTATTTTTTATATAATAGACAATTTTGTAGTTCATATGTTTTCGTATTGTTTTTTTTTTAAATTTTTATTTTATTTTGTGATTGTTTTTTTCTAAAAGAAAATTTCATTAATTTTTCAATTTTAATTTGTGTTTGAAGAGAAAATATTGTTACGTTTCTGATTTTTTATTTTGATATATTTTTTTTTTCATCATGTGATGTCAGAATTATTATTGATTACCTACTAAGTAATACTAATTTTTGAAGTGCATTCATTTTATTTGACCGATACCCTTGTTTCATTCCTAACTCTATGGACATATAACGGTCTACTATAAAGCCGACTAGGGATGTGTTTTATTAATCGATTTTTTCCTAATTTTTGAATTATTTTCAAAATAAACACCCTAAATATTTTATTTTTCATGGTTTTTTTAATTAAAAATAAACAATAAAAATTATAAACACAAATTAATGTTTAAGAATAATCAAAATTGAAATAACTTAATCTCGTTTTGATAGATTTTAAGTGAAACTTGATAAATGCTGACTGTATGCCTTTTCAGTAGCACATTCCAGTATTTTTGTTGTCTTTTTAATTGTATGTAATCTTGTGCTGCTGACTAATTTAATTTACTTTTAAATTATAGTGTTCCATTCAAACTTGAGTTTTTGTAAAATTAACTGGTTTTATCGTCCTTTCGATGTTTTACAAAAAAACATCAATGCATCGAGTATATCAATACATCTTCAAAGAATCGAATTGTAAACTTCGATGTATATCGAATATCCCTTATAGTTCGAGGTCCGGGTTATAAAAGACCAGACATAATGTCGGGAGGTGGCAGATGAAAAATTGACTATAATTGATTTTCAATTATAAAATTATCGATTATTTTTTCACATCCCTAAAGCCGACCAACCAGCGCGCGAGTTGCGTACCGTTTCACAATTTGACGATTTCACTTCGATAGATTATAATCTACCGAATAATAATACATTAAATTGTAAACAGTACGTTGAGTTCACAATCTTTCGACAGTTTATAATCTCGCGAGATAGATTACAATCTAACGGTATTTAAAATTTTACGTTAACATATACATCTGATTTGCAAAATTTATTGTGAGACTGAAAATGGTATACCTATTTAATCATTGTATAATATACAAAATTACTATTTGGTCATTGGTATTGATATTATACATATATTGGATATGGTTTAACATTTTAGTTACCTCATTTTTCCAGGTCAGCTGCCAATAGAAATCATCCTCCAGCCCTCTATAATCTGGGCTTGTGCTACGAGATGGGATTAGGAGTCAAAGTTGATGAGAAAGTTGTAAGCATTGATATTCTAATTTGAGAATTTTTGTTAACTGCAAGTTTAATTACTTATTTACAACATATTTATTATTTAAAATTATTTTTGTAATTGGTAGTGTATTCTATATAATTCACAGGCAATGGAACTATATAGATCTGCAGCCGCACTTCATCATCCTGGTGCTCTATATAATCTTGGCATCTATTATGGACAAGGCCGTGGAGGTCTAACAAAAGATGTTCATACTGCAACACGGCTTTTACGGCTAGCTGCTGTACAAGGTCAACAAGATGCAATAACAGCTTTGAACACGCTAGATGTTGACATTAAGGAACCATCATCCCCACAAGAAAGGGGTTGTTGGACAAAGCAGTACAGTCCGTTGATGGAAAATGGAATAATCCCGACTTATTCTTCACTTTTTGTTGACAATGTAACACCTATGACAAGTTACAATTATGAACCTATTGTTTACTGATTTAATAAGTACTTTACTAATATAGTGGTGGCATGTTATTTTTATTTGATTAACAATTAACATGATTTTTGATAGTTGTTTGCTTAGTTTTTTGGCATTTACTAATGAGGAAATGCTTCTATTAACAAACTAAGATTATTAATATTTTTACATAGTAGGTTAAATTTTATCTTTTAGATCATGCCATGCCATGTAAATGTTCTAAGAACAAGTAATAACTAGGAGCTAAAAATACGAAATCAAATTTCGTAATACTTGTCATTTATCAATAGATTTGAACAAAAAAAGCTATCAAGTTAATTAAAAAAAAGTTTTTCTGTTTCATAATATAATTATAAAAGATCATCTATTATATCCATGGATCACACAAAAGAACATAGTTAATTCTCTTATTTAAATAGTTTTACATGAATAAACACTGTAATAATAATTCCAACTTGGGATTAATTTAATTGTAAGATCCTCAAATTTTGTTTTTGTTTTCAAAATGTACAACAAAATAAATTAAAACTTGAAATGTTTTATTCAAGCTAAATAGTGTGCATATTTTTATATTACAAACAAAAACCGGGATCATAAAAGCCCCATAAACATATTATGGTAATCTCTACCTTATAATAAACCTTAATTATAACTTCATAACAAACTTGTTAAAAATATTTTACAACCCAGTGTTGTGTTGTACTTGCAGGAATGGTAATGGGTCTTCTATACAAGAAATCTGTTGAATTATCCATCCATTGTCCTAAAACAAAAAGTTATGTTAAGAACTACCTATGGGAGTAATTAATTTCTATTAGAATGTTCTATTTAGAACTGAAACATTCTTAAAAATATCAAACAATGACCAACTTAGCAGATTAAAAGTGTTTCCTCTATTGATGAACTATGTTTTCTGGTTCTATCAACATGATAGATTGGTAATCAGTACCTAACATGTTTATGATATAAAAAATATTAATTGTACAAAGAACCCATTAGTGGGTGAGATCGCCTAGCCTAATTTACTGCTCATTTGCCCTATCGAAATTAATTTCATAACTATTATAAATCATATCATAAAAAGTAAAATACCTAGTACTTGCGCGCATACTCTCTGGCGGTGGGCGGGTATCGGTCAGGGTAAGTAGCTCCGGGCGGAGGTGGTTGGTAAGCAGCGGGATACCGTGTGTCATACGCGTTGTACCGGGTATCATTGCTCGCGGGCCATGTTGCATCGCTGGGGGCGCTAACTGCAAGGCAAGTAGCCAGATAAATTCTGTAGGCCTCAGCAGGGCAAGAAAGAGTAAATTGTTCTTATTACTATCGGCAACTTGATCAGATTTTGGAATGGTAGGGGTTGTACACTTACAACAAGATCTCAATAAACGCTTGGCAAATTAACATATATTATATAATCACTTCGTCATACGAGTCCATTTTTAGACGAAAGCTATACATACATATAAGATAATACTCAATATTTTACCTTTAGAGGATACTGCAGCGTCAGGATAACGCGTTGATGAGTTCCAGGTCCGAGCGTCAGGTTTGGTAGGCGGCGACGGCCGGTATTGACGACTGTCACGTGTTTCATATGTACGACTGCAATAGTAAAATAGTGCAATAGTATAATTTCGTGTTCGTACAAAATTTTATACCAATAAATATTTATACCTGTATTTGTAATAAGTAAGTAATGTTCCAGTAGGGGAGCCTGGTATGCTGAACTTAGTTACTAAAGCGTCATGGAGACATTGGATTGTGAAGATTAGTTTGTATCACGAAAAAAGTTTGTTAACTTAAAAAAAAGGAGTCTTATGGAGATAATGTCAGACATTTAGTGTTATCGCGCTTTGTCTTTCTGATAACCGCTAGATATTAATCTACCGATTAACCACAGGGGGTGGCCGAAAATAGGAGTAGAAAAACAAAGAAATAAAGTATACTCAAAAAAGTGTACTCTTTAAATGACTGATGATTTGGACGTGACCCTTTCGGTGAACTTGGACGTGATCCAATTATTGTAAAAAAAATGTGACCAATGATCCAGCTAAGACAAAATAAGTTAAGTATATACACACAGGTGTATATTTCAATGATCTGACGTATTTGTTACTTTCTTAATAAATCAATAAAAAATATTTTTATAGCACACTTGTTCATCCGATACATAACTTCTGGCTACCATTGAAATATTAATAAAAAAAATCACAATGCCCTATTTTAATTTCCGGCCTCAGCCGTGATTGGAACCCTCATTGTTAACATACTAAGGTAAAATGAAATAAAATATAATACACTATGTACGAGCAATATATGTACCAGATTCAATCTTCACATGCTAAAACGTTATGATTACATTGGAGTCATTTATTAAAACGATTATCACATTGTTTTATTTTTGAGAAAAATATGGCATTTTTACTAACCTTGGTTCTTTGGGTCGTGTTCCAGGTGGCATTGGTTGCCTTGAATCATCATTGGATGTGCCATTACTAGGATACTTCATGTTGCTAGCTAAAACATTTAAAATCCATTTTAATCAATAAGATGCAATTATTTGGGGTAATTTATTGTGGGCCACTGAACTAATATCAATGTAATTTTGAATTCTTAAGTCTTATTTGGTCACAAGTACTTATTTTTCAATTTTGTAAATAAAACGGATATTTAAAGTATACATCTCAAAAATTACTGAACTGATTTTGATAAAATTTAGAACTAGTAAATTTTTATAACCGTACGTTTTAATATACTATAGTTATAATCATGACGATAAGATATCAAATTCAAAAAATATACAGATAACCTCCTATTTTGAAGTCGGTTAGATTACCAGCCTTTAAATAAAGTATACTTACAGGACACGTGTCTTGTATAATCTCGCTTGTATTCTCTATCCCTTTCCCTCTTGTCACTCCGGTCATAATTCGAGGACATATCAAATCGGGGCGGTGGTGGCGCTTCAAACTGAGCTCCACGGGAAGCCTATAGATCGATTATTATTAGTATACTTGCAAAACTCATTTACATTCTGCTGAATACTTTTTAATTATTGCTAAAATGAAAGGAAGTGTTCTTGGATATTATATTGTTAAATTTGTTATTATCAATTTAGTTTTAAAAAAAATTAAGGGCAGAAGGTTTTGAAAACATCTAATAAGGGAGCGTTCAAGTATTACGTAGCGAATTTGGGACGGGGACGGGTCCTTTTGTTAAACCGTACTATACAGGACGGATATGAATTACGCGTTATTGTTAATATTATTTTCGACTTTTAAGTACTTTTGACCACATAATGGTATCTTTTAGGTACCCGTTTTACTATATTTGGGTAAAGTACTGTTCTTGGGTATAGAAAAACGTTACGGCGCGTTACAGGGGGGGGGGTCAATAATCTCCAAAAATTGTGTGACGTAATACTTGAACGCTCCCTAACGTATGCGTTTCTTTACATGTCATAATTTAAAATAATTTCAATCGTCGTAGTAAGATAAATTGTTGCTTAGCCTTCGAATGAAAGATTTATTATTTAATTTAAAGAGATTCATTTCCTAAAACTAATTAATATCGAACAGAATATTTATAACAGTTTATTTAATAAAATTAATACTACTCGAAACTTAAACATACTAGTATATTGTCTCATTTTTGGTGAAAACTGAATAACACCTATTGTTGAAATACATGGTAGGGGAGCCCAAGAGGGATTTCGGGATTTACTAAAGCGCGGCAGATTACTATATAGGGGGATACCTTACCCGGTTAAGTACCTCCACAAAATATGAGGCCCATATATAAGGCCGCGCGTGAAGGAGACAGGATCAGATTAGTAAAAAAAATTGACCATCAGAAATTCCCGAGCGCGTCAGATAAGGTAGGGTGAGTTAATTACATCCTAAAAAGTGTATATTCCACTAATCTGACAATTTGAGAGTGACGGAAAAAAGGGGAGGGCAACAAAGTTGTAAAAAAAACGTCATCTCGACATTCTCGAGCGTAGCTAATTTTCTTTTATTTTGAAGGAAATAATTCCAGAATAATGAAAAATATATAATCTGACGATTTCCGCAAGCCGAAATAACAAAAATTCGTCGATAAAGTTAAATGCGTGCAGCTGCGTGATGCCTACATTTCCTTAAACCGATCGGAATCTACTAAACGGCGTTCAAAATATTTCCCTCAAAATTACATTTCCTGTGAATTTGAACCGATTCGGACCGATAGATTTTGAGAAATTTTGAAAAATCTTAAAAAAATAAGAAATATTTTTTTTTTAAGTGGTTTCTTTATCGATCAACTTCAAAAACTAATCCGCCTTTGAGCTTGAAAAACCACGTCGATCGCCACCAAGCTGGTCAAAAGCGGTTGATTCGTTCGAGAGATATCGTACATGAAAGAAACCCGAAAAAGTGTTTTTTCGGGATTACTCCGAAATTTGTGGTTCGATCAATTAAAATTGCAAAATTACTTATGAGAATGATAAAACTGCGTCGAATGCCGCCAACCGCGTGAAAATTGCTTGATCCATTCAAAAGTTATTGCGGTTTGAAAATTCCAAAAATAGTGTTCTATGAAACTTCTATCAGACTTTCGAGCTGGGAGGCTCAAATGCATAGAAATGTTATTTCTTTGAACTCAGCGAGCTCAAAATATCAATTTTAAGCGCCCAGGAATGGAATTAGCGGGAAGTTGCAGGGTGGCCCTTTAGGTGAACCGTTTTTCTAATTTTTTTTTGTCAGATCAGGCGAATCCCTCTAGATAATCGTCAGATTATGAGACAGTACGTTTAGAACATAAAGATGAACCACATATATCTTAATCTGACGCGCTTGAGTATTTCAAAATTGCGATTTTTTTTTGCAAATTAAGAAAATGGCTGTGGGTTTGCGTCCCATCGAAATCGTCAGATTAGTGAATGAGAGATTTTTTTGGTGCACTTAACGCTCCCTTAGAAAATCTGACGCGCTCGATAAAAATTTTTTTTTTTTAATTTTCAACCCTTAAATACAACCACC